TTTAGTTGTATGTGTCTGTGCAAGAGTACCATTGCTGCAGCACTGCAAGAGACAATTTGATTTTTAAAGGCATTCAATGGGAAATTTGCCTAATGCAGTCTATCAGTGGATACTTCTGAGCAATACAAGACTGTGCAGCTATAGGACTGCCATTGTACTTTGCACAGAATTTACAGGTTTTATAAGTTACCCTTTACCTGTTCTCCAGCCTTTGAATCAACAGTTTCTTCCATACTGGTAGCTAGTGTTTTTTCATGACTTGAAGTGACAGCAATTGAATCCAAATCTGGACTCATCATTTCCTCTTCCACAAATATACTTCCATTAGGTTTATTTAGAGGTATTTTCTGAGGTGAAGGCTCCAGCTGTCCATGGTCTGGGTTAAGTTTATAATGTCTTGCTAATCCTCCTTTTCCTATGTAAGATTTTTCACAAGTCTGACATTTAAACGTTTTGGGTTTCAGATTATAATTTGAAGAACTGAATAATGCATCCTTTCCCTTCACCTTTCCTTCTTCATCATCTTCTATACTCAGCTCAGAGTAGTCATCAGAATCAGACTGATGACCATCAGCCAAATCCTCCATTTTAATGAATTTATAATCTTTAGCTTTGTATTTAGGAGGTCGTGAAATCCGTCCAGAACGAGTTTTCACTTTCAAGGATTTCTTTAACTTGTCATCCTTTTGCTTTTTTTCAAGGCTTGGTGTACTTGCTGAACTGGCTGCAGCCACAGTAGGTTTTGGAGACCTTGAAGCCGATGCTGTGGCACAAGAAGCCCTCTGTCCATTCACCATCTTGGATGGGGGAATCTTGTCCACAGACCCGTGAGATGGTAAAGGCCTCTGCATAAGCAACTGAACTGGAGACTCAGAAGAACTGTGCAGGAGTAGTTGCTGCTGCTCAGTTCCTGAAACAGGCTGTATCCTAATTATCTGGGGATTAATAATGCCAACTCCTGGCATGCTAGATTTCCTACCAACTGGCTGACTCAGCGTTATAGTTTTGGACTGGACTGGTGTCAATGATGTCACTGGCCCTTCAGTTTCCTTCATCTGTCCTGGCTGAACTTGGACACAAATGGCTTCCAGCTGCTTTTGTGGAAAAAAGGAGGAGTTGCAATTACACAAATACAGTATTAATAAATAAATACAATATTTATTGAGTTAATACACACATTCCCTTAAAGCAAAGCGTGAAGAAAGCACTGCACATCATTAACTTTCCATCTTAATGCATCAAAGCACAGATTCCCTTCCTCCAAGCTATGGGTTTTCCTGCACATTTTCTGCTGTGACTGCGGTTCAACTAAAGCATGTAAAGTTTGCTCTGAGGCCATGCCACAGCTTTGTTACCTGCTAGCAGGCCTGGCTGGAAGAGCAGAGTCAATGCCATCACCAAGGCACACTCACAACCTTCAGCAAACCCCGCACACGGGAAAACTACAGTCTGCTACATAACACAGGCCAAGTACCCAGTCCAGGACATACTATGATGTGAGTTCAGTTCACAAAAACTTTGTGGTGATGATTCACAGAATCAGATGTTACTGTTTATCTCCCTCGCAGTTTCTCTGCCTCATCCAAATTTCTACTTCAGTTCCAATCATTCACTTCACAACCTACACCCCAAAAGTGGGTTGAAAGCCCAGGGACTGTCACCTGCAAGAGGCATGCAGCAACTTCCAGTGTATCACCACTTAACCACTAAGGAAAGGCTCTTCTGTGCTGTCCTTGGCTGCACGTGTTGTCAGACTGAAATACTGACCACAGCAGCGATTAGCTACATTCAAACACGGATTTTCCTAAACCACATTGAAAGCTGTGCCTTTGAGCTATGGGATCTGAGTCTACACCCTAGAGCAGGTGCGACTGAGGAGAACGGCAAAAAAAAAAAAAGAAAAGTGTTAGAAAGGATTAAACCCGCCGGAGCCATGGCTTTCATCACCAACAGAGCGCCGCAGCCTCCCCCCCGCCCAGCCCCCGGGGTTACCTTCTGCGGGAGGAGGCGGGCGGCCGCCGCGGCCCTGCCCTGCTGCAGGGCGACCTGCTGGGCCACGCTCTGGAGCTGCCGGGCGGCGTTCTGCATGATGCCGCCCGCGGGGCAGGGCTGCGGCGGGGGCGCGGCGGCCGCCGCCGGCTTCAGCTGCTCCTGGGCCTTGCTCACTTGCTCGATGACCCGCCGGAGCTCCGCGGGGGCCAGCGGCGCGGCGGCGGGACGGGGCGGCGGCCCCGGGCTCTCCAGCAGCCGCCCCAGCAGCCGCCGCTGCTCGCCGGCGCTCTCCGCCGCGCTCCCGTCCGCCCGCAGGTACAGCACGGTGCCGCTCGCCGCTCCCCCGCCGGCTTCCAGGGCGGCCAAGCTCTGCACCAGCTCCTCCGTCACCGCCAGCAACTCCGCGCCGCTACCGCCATCCTCCTCTCGCCCCGCGGCCGCGCCGGGGGGTGCCCCGCGGGTCCCGGGGGGCTCGTCCTCAGCGGGCGGAGGGGGCGGCAGCGCCCCGGCGCCCCCCGCCCCGGGAGCCGCCATCTTGGCAGGCGCCGCATCGGCGGGGCCCGGCAGCGCCCGCCGCGCCCCCCGGGGCGGGGCCGCCCGGCGCCGACGGCGGCTCGCGCGGGATAAAACCGGCGGAGGTGCACCCGGAGCTGCTGGCCCCGGTGGCGGAGTTACCGTGAGTTGTTTTTGCCCGCCGTTCGAGTCTCAGTACAAGAGAGAGGGACATGGAGCTCCTAGAGCGGGTACAGTGGAGGGCAATGGGGGATAGCTGAGGGACCGGAGCGTCTGCCTTACGATCAAAGGATGAGGGAGTCGCGCCTTTCCAGCCTCGGGAAGAGACGACTCGGAGGAGACCTCATGTCTGTGTACAAATATCTAAAGGGGCTGGTGCCAAGAGAATGGATCCACTCTCTTCCCGGAGGTGCCGACCTCTGGGATACAAGACAACTGATGCACAGAAAGTTCCACCTGAACATGCGGAAGAACTCAACTGTGCAGGTTACCGAGCACTGGAACAGGTTGCTCAGAGAGTTTGTGGAGTCTCCCTCAACTGGAGATATCCCAGAACGGTCTGGACGGAATCCTGTGCCGGGTGCTGTACAAGTCTGCTTTAGCAGGGAGGTTGGAGGAGTTGTGGTCTCCTCCAAAGTGACCCATTCTGTGAACGCGTGCTCCGCCACTCGCTGTCACCGGGAGGCGTTTCGGGCAGGGGAGCGGGTGTCACGCGGGAAGGGCAGCCCACACGGCAGAAAAGAGCCCGGAGGGGTCACCCGAGCACGCTGTAGCCGACCCCGCGCTCTGCCGGGGCCGGCCGGGCTCCAGCAGCCGCAGGCGCGCGATGAAGCTCGGTCCGTGCTGCTGCCGCTCTGGGCGCTCCAGCCCCGTACAGACAGACACACAGACACGCACACCCACATACGCACCGTTGTGCAGAGATCACGCAGCGTCGCAGCACAATCGCGTGAGGTGGTGGGAATCGCTGGGACAAATAGGACAAACGAAAAAAAGACGGGAAAGGAAAAGGTAACTCCTGTGGCCCGTACGGGGATCGAACCCGCGACCTTGGCGTTATTAGCACCACGCTCTAACCAACTGAGCTAACCGGCCACTTGGTGCTAAGGTCCGACTCCGGGGTAAATAAAGACAACCCCACGCCAATGTTCCACCTTTCGGCTGGAATAAAGAGGGCGACAAACTGGGCGAGGAGCCGCCTCATCCTCGGGAGCCGGGCCGCGCATATGGAAACACACGCTTAACTCCTCAGCAAAACCAAAAGCGAATCTGAAAACATTTCTCTGCCTAGAGAGAGATGCAGCGCCTGGTAGGGAACAACTGTAACGCGCAATCGGGGACAACTTCGCCTCTAAGTCAACAGGCTAATACTTCTTGAAGTTTATTAAGCTATTATTCCAGTTTCTTTTGATTAAAATATTTGAACATTCTTAAAAAGCATGTACTATTCCGTTTAACACACTGCTAGGATCCTGGTTTGCACGGACAAAAAATTCACCTTTTCCTAGTGTTTTGTTTTTTACTACATATGCTGCATAGAAAAGAACTTTTCTGCTCACCATTGAAGCCTGCGTTAATTCACAGGATGTCTGTTTAGCAAGAGGCAAACACCGGCGGCGGGGACAGGCAGGGGATGACACAGCTCTCCAAAATGCAGCGTTTTGGAGACAGCTCGGTGAGAGCAGAGCCCCCACTCTGTGCCGGGCTGGAGGTTGGGCTGCTCTCCGCACCCCGCAGTGGCGCGCAGGATCCGCCAGGGATCAGGCCATCACCGGGGATGAGTCTGAGCCCGCCGGGGCAGCATTCAGGGCCGCCGCTGGGTTCATGGAGCACGGCTCTTATCCCAAGGGCTCCCCTCCTTAACCCCGCACCCGCGGGCGGCTCAGCCCCGCCATCCCCGGGGAGTCGGGACCCCAAGTGACACCTCGAGGCGAGGTATTTCTGGTTCTATTCTAGTTTGCGCAAAGCAGGGAATATAATAAAATACCTGGTGGTATCCCACAAAAGTCTAGCCCAGTGAGCATCAAAATTTCACACTTGCTATACTTTTTTAACAAACAAAGGCATCAGCATCCTCCGTTACCAACTACGTAAGTTTTCTATTAATTAGTATCCAAAGCACTATTTGGTAGTAGCACCTCGCTTTTCACGCTAATTAGTCCGTAGGCGTAGTTATTTTTTTCCGGTTGAGGCTGGGGTCCCTTCTGGGTAGGCGGCCAATGGGTTGCGATCTCGCACCGCCGAAATTACGTTTCCCCCAGTTACTGCTCCATTCTCCTGACTCCAATCCTGGTGTCCCTCGTCCAGACAGCCCGTTCACCTTGGGATTGTCTTTCCTTTTCCTTAAAAAAAAAAAAAAAAGATTACCCGAGGTGCGACACCCACGATTCTCCCGCACCTGGGCGCGCACCTGGCGGGCAGGGCGGAGCGCTGGCACTGCGCATGCGCCCCCCCTCGGCCGTGCCGTGCGCAGCGGGGCCGGCGCGTGCGCGGTTGCCGGGGCGACTGGAACACAACATGGCGGCCTGAGGGGAGCGCCGGCAGCGGGGCCGGGGCGGGCCCGGCCGCTCCTCCGCCAGCCCCGGCAGCTGCGGCACGGCGCGGGAGGCACAGTAAGAGGGTACGGGGGAAGGCCTCGGGCCCTTTCTGCGGGGTGGTGCTGGCCCGGGCGCTGCAGGAGGCTGACGGTCACCGAGGGGCCGTGGTCTCAGGGAGCAGCCGCGCTGAGGGGCTGCGGGCGCCTCTGCAGCCCCTGGGCAGCTCCCGGGCCTCGCATGCCGGCGCTGCTCTCCGCGCCCCAGTCCTCCGCAGCAGGCAGCGAGCAGGTCTTTCTCTCGGCTCCTGCGGGCCATCACCCTGGCTGCTGGTCTCTCCGAGCGTTTTCTCGGGAGCTGCGAAGTTTTCCTGGCTCGGCACGCCTTGCTTTGCATTGCTCAGCATCCTTCACAGCATGCCGTGTCACACCCCGCACATCTGGCGTGTCTCTGAGTGCAATAATTACGTACCATGGCCTTGAAGCTCAACTTCTTGCTGCTTCCTTCATGTCTTTGGTTATTTCTCTCTTCCCACGTGTATACTTAAACATCACAGCTCTTTCTTCCTCAGTATCTTGGCATCTTTGTAACAAAGCATCTGCTTTAGATTTTTATAATATCCTCTTTTGACTACTGTAGTGCTGTCTTTTGTGTCATTTTGTATTGAATTCTTTAATGCTAAATGATTATTAATGTTCCACACTCTCTATTTACAATTATTGGGTGTTTGTGAGTTCCATCACTTGTCCATAATTTACATTTAGATTGTTCCTTATTTCCGGGGTTTTCTAGCCTCTTGCACATTAAACCCTTCGTCTATTGAATAATTCATGGCCACTTTTTGGGGGTGTTGGATGAGTTCCTATTGCTACGACTTGTTCTTCCCAGCCTTTATTTCCCTTTCCACTAACGATTCTAAGCTGGAAAATGTGTGTGCTGAGACAGAGGGGAGGGAGGGACAGCTTAGTTAATATCTGTTGTTACAGATATGTTATATAGTTAACTAACTACAGATATACACTCTAGCCAGTGATCAGGTCTCTGTCATTCTCCAGTGTTCTATGCAAATGTAATTAGAACACTTCCTTTAATTTACCCTCGAAGCTTTTAGTCTTACAATAAAATTTTTAACCTTTCTTTCAGTCTTCGTTTCTGACTACAGCAAATCCAGGTAATCCTAACTGGTAGTAAGTTTTGTTTTGTAGCTGTACAAATTTTCATAGCTTAAAGTCGGCTCTGAGCTGGCTTTTTTTTGTTCAGCATGTGTGTGAAGTCTCTTGTTTTGGTGGGTTCTTTCTGTTGCCTTGTCACTCTCAGGATGTGGTCACATCATGATCAGGATGGTGCTGAAGTGGATTTTTAAGAATCTCCAGAAATCTTGGCTTGTGAATGCAAAATTAAAATTTGTTAGTACACCTGAAGTCTAAACTTTATTTCTTCTTATTCTATGTAAATTTCTATGCTGTTGTTCTTACAATGTCTGATTTTATTTCAGCTGCTGCTTACACAATAACTAAAGTGTCATGTGATCATGATCATTTTGTCCCTAGGAGAAAACCTCTCTTATTTTACTGTTTTGTTCAGAGTTTACACATTGACCTTATTCATCAAAGAAACATTTCAAATAATGCAGTTTTTATTCCTGATTCCACCCTTTATTCAGTCAGTTGAAATTATTCAGGCCTTTGCTTCATTCTTTTAACTGGGTGGATCTCACAAGTGCCAGGTTTAAGGCTCAGTTGTTGCTCATGTGTGGGGTATTTATTTTGTCTACAGAGCTCTCTGTTGTGAAAGAATTACAATAACAAGTTTTACAGGCTTATGTGGAAAAGATCTTCAGTGCTGTAAGAATGTGTAAAGGATTAAGTCCTTGTACCACATCAGAATTCTGCAATTTAAAATCTATAAACAACTCGAGTTATTTTGAGCTCTCCACTGTCTCTCCACTTTTCTTTTATGTGTAAAATACATTTATAGAAGAAAATATGTAGACATAACCAAACAGTATAAACATATACTGACTTCTTTAAGTACCTGAGGATATCTTCAATAAATTTGTGCAATAATGCTTTCCCTGCATTTCTCTGCCCAACTACTTTGCTTCATTAACACTATGGCTGCTATGCCATAGATATTAAGATCTCATTTTCAGATCATATGATTTTGAAATTTTTTTTTGATGCCAGAGAATCAATTACTTGCATTTAAGGAAAAAAAATTAGGATGGCCATTTATTAGAATAAAAGAGTAAATCAACAAATAGCTAACTTTTTTTTTGTGACTGTCTTGCATATATTTTGGCCCCAGGGCTGGCTCTGACATCATAAGAACATGTAACACAGGCAGTGTGTTTGTGACTGGTTGGAGGGTATCAGTTGCTACCAAAAAAATACGTTTACACTGAATTCTGAGAGAGTAGTATTTAAGTAGTCTGAATTTACAATCTCTATCTTATATTTAGCAATTTAGATAGGAAATTAAAACTTAATGTGGGGATAGAGAACATTTTTCCTGACGAGATGTTATTTCTTCAGTCTCAGTTGGTGAAAGCTGAGGATCAGCTCCCCTGAAGCACAAACTGCCCACTTAGCAAATTACAGCCACAACAATTAAACTGTCCCCCATGCTGGAGTCTGTTAGATGGCCTCCTTTACCCACAATGATTTTCACATTCTGTTTGTGCTTTTAAAATAGCTCTATATGCAAATTGTCTCTATTGAGCATATGAGATTGTGTGGTTTATTTTAAATTACTCTCCTATTTCCAATTTTTCAGATTTAGGTGGCCTAATTAGTTTATGATGCAGCATGATTGATAATGATCAGAAAACAGAAGTAGCAGATGATAAAAATGAGAAGAGCACCTGACAATTCTCATGTAAGTGCTGCTACTGTATTGAAGAAAGAGGGGCTGCAAGGGGAAGGTTTTTACTAATTTAAATGCAAGCATTTGGCTCACAAGGAAGAAAACAGTTTTTTGTTGTTTGGTGTCTTTTTTTAGACAGAAGCAAATACGAAAGCTGGGGAGATGAAAAGAGAATGAGACAACACAAATCGATTGTCAGTTGGAAGACAGCATTAGAATGTCCCTGCCTAAGTAACTTTTCCCTCTGCAAAATTTCTTGGCAGGCTTTCTCCACTGTAAGGCTGTGTTTATACTTGTAAATTAAACATATCTGGAAATCTTCTTGGACACAAAGAGCAGCTGGCATGAAACAGCCCTCATCTCTGCTAGTAAATTCTCTTATCTTCCAAAACAAGGCAGAAGGACAGAAACTGCTTGAGAACCGACCTTAGAAGGAGTCCTCACACCAGGCAGGGAAGGTGCCTCACAAAGTGCTGATTGTCACAGGCCAAGTCCCTGCCAGGTACTGTTGTCACAGTAACCAGTAACAGGCAGCTACACTGAATTTACTGCTGTCACAAAGCTTGAGACTCCCAGTTATTCTGACACCCATAAAGGGCTGAGTGTGATAAAAGAGGTTTTCTGATCTGCCTCCCTCAAAATGACTGGGTTTGCATCTTTCTTGAGTAATAAGACCCATGTCAGAAGCAACAGCAGCATAAAGCTAACCAGAATTGGATTTTGCTCAGGTGAAATTACTGAAAAAATTATGAAGGATAGAATCTGTAGGTGCTAAAAATAAAAGGAAATAGGAGGATGAGGTGGGTGAAGGGAACTAGGCACTGGGATTGTAAGGAACAGTTAATCACAAAGCTGGAGGAGAATAAAGGAGAAAGAAAAAAGTCAATTCTGATGGAAATTAGAAGACCTAAAAATTAATATAAATAAAACTTTTTTTTGATAACCCATACCTGCTTCATTCCTTAAAGTTCTGCAGAATTAGAATTGACTGATTTTTCACATCCTTGTATTTGAAGCATTTAATTATCAAAGCCAAACATTACTTTTGGCCCAGTGCAAATCTCATATCTGAGTTTAATATGGGAATAAAGCTTTAAAATCAGAAACTGCTTTGCTTAAAATAAAATATATTTTAAAAACCACCAAACCAAACAATACCCCAACAAATAACCCCCACACTGGAACAATGATTCCATGATACACTTGCTTTCCAAGATAATTTTGTTTTCAGTACATTGTAAAAAAAGGGAGTTTTTTGTTTTGTTTTGGTGAAAGAAACAAAGAATAAATTCAAATATGAGTTGCTAATATGCTGCAGCATGAAAAAAGGTAGGAAGGGCTGTGTGGAGAGGCATCATGTCTCTGAGCAAGGAAGTGGTATTTTCTTTTCTAAGAATTATTGTCTTCTACTTTCTGGAATATATATTTCTGTAATCTGGGCAGCAAAACTTCATCTGCTGTTTTTCATTTTATTTTCTCTCAACTTACATGTTAATAAAATACCTCTTTTATTCAAAAGTTTTCCATTAGTCAGCCTTTAACAAGTAAAGTAAGGATTGATACACAGTCTTCAGAATAATTTCAAACATACTGACACACAGTGTATTTTTGTTTTTAAAATACCAGTTGCTAAGATAAGGAGAGGGAATATTTCCTGATGTTCTGGAGAAAGTGAGTCTTTGGGAAGGAAAGTTCTGTGCAAGTAAACACATGAAGCAACATTTTGAAAGGTATGCATAATTAATCAAGGAAATTCTACAGAAAGCCATGTTTAAATTCAATGAGGAAACACAAAATTAAGACTAAGTGAAGCTTTTTAAGTACACATGAATTAAAAAGTTTGCCTGTGGTACAGCAAGGGAACTCTGCCTTCCTGTTTGGCACTGGGGGTTACTTCCTTGAGTGCTCTAATGGATGTCACCCACTGCATTAAATGGTGCCTGGCCTCTGGGTCGAGGGTGAAACCATAAATGAGGAATAAGTAGTTGATTTCTGCCTTGCCAAATGCACTGAATATACTTATGCTGTTTTTCTTTTATTGTAAATAATAATTGGAGGACATGTGTCAGTCCTCTCCTTGGTAATACTTTTTTCAGTCTCTTTTTAAGTACTGTTGTAATGCTGGTTCAAACCAGTGCATTTCTCCTTAGTCAATGTATAGCATTAGTTCTCCTTCATATTTGCATTTATATTTACATCCATCATCCAGATGTTATCTGGTCACAAAATAGGTGCTTTTTATCAGTTAGGAAAAGAGAGGAGAGGGCTGTGTGTTAGTAGACATAGATGACATTGTCCTCCAAGTATACAAGAACCCACCAGTGCCTCTTGGGTTACTGATTTTATATTCTCAGTTAAATATATCAAGTTCCTAATGAAATCACTGGGAATGACTCATTTGTACATACAAAGTGAAATGGGACATTTTGCTCTTAGGTGAGATTTCAAAATGTAGCTCAGAGCTTCAAAGAATATCAGTTAAAGGAAGAGAAATATCTTCAAGTAATGTGGCTTCTGATTCTCTGTTTTATTGGTAGATCTGTTGGTCCATTTATACACTACGTACAACTGACAGAATTGTCCACTTTATGATCAAAACTGTATTTAAACTGTTATTTAATTATATTCAGTGTTTAAACTATCTGCTTAACTGTACCAAGGGCAGATGTTTACAACTCAGTGGTAAGGCACTGCAGACTCTCTCATCTTTTCATCTAAAACATCTTTTAGGCCTTTAACTCTTTGATAAATTGACTGACAAATTCTTTTGATGAAGTGAACTCTGTTAACAGCAGATAATAACATTATTTTAAACAGAACCTGCCCATACATGATATTTCTCCTCATTTCAAAGTGGAGAATATTGTTTTGGTGTTTAGCTGTACGTCTGACTGGGGAAAGACGTATGTCCTGCCCTGGTCCATTCAATAGTGTGCAAAACTCTTTGTTTCCTGCTTCCTCCCCAGAGTTTCTGTACCATGGGTTTTTTGTTTACTGAAGCCTAGGAGGGCAATGAAATAATATACACAATAATTGAATAGTGTCTATTTTTCATGTAAGAGGTTTCCATCAAAACTTAATTTTAAACGTTAAATTTGGCAATGCATCCCTCTGAGCAATGTTTGGAATGTATGCTACAGCAGCACAGAGTAAGCAGAACAATCCATACTCTTATGCAACACAAAATTCCTGCTGGGAGCTCCTTGGCATGGTAACTGGTGTCTGGGGCACAGCACATTGTTACTTTTCTTCTTGGGGTAAACCCAGCTACTCCAAGCTGCAGGAAGGAATAAAGCCATTTACTAATTACTGATCTGCTCAATAAAGAAAGAGGAAGCAAACAATTTATCAGACCCTGCATTTGAAAGTTCTGTGACAGACTAAAGTTCTGACAGCCTCATGGCAGGGGAAAAAGTCAGCTATAATCCAGTCCTTGGCTGCAAGACAGTTGTCCTGCTTTCTGTTTAATTCAACTTCAGTATGGAACAAGTGATAATGTGAGATAAATACAAGCACTAAGGAGGCTGACTCCACATCCTACTATCTTTATGTTTACATAAAGTTGTTTTGTATGCATTGATTTATTTTTTCTTTATTCCTGTATTTGAACAATATCCAGTAACTTTTGGGTTTAGAGACAACCTGTAGATTCTTAATCAGCTTTTTGAGTTTGAAACATGTTTCTCAAAATCTATGTGTCTGCTTTTGTTAAGAAAGTCTGATGTAGCTCTTGCTTTTTGTGTCTCTTTTCCAACAGACCAAAATATTTCAACATCAGTATTAAAATGAAAATCTAAATATATGTTAAGCATAGTTAAATTTCATCTCATCCTATGTAAGATTTGCTGGTGATTTTAACCTACATCCCGTATCCTGTTAGTGCTTTAACTGTACACCATGGCTCAGTACCCTGGTTAGGCACACTCAGTTTATCTGCTGAAATAGCCTCTGGTACTTAAGGATCTTGGCTTGACTTATCAGTTTGAACTAGGGATCAAAGCAAACTATTTGGCAGTATCATTTCACAGGCAGCTTTACAGACACCCCTGTGTGAGTAGTTGAAGTTTAGATCTCAGAATTAGGCAGGAGCTGAGCGATGCTTTTGGGAAGAGGTGTCAGTGATAAAGTTGGGTTCCTTGCCTCATTAAGCACTTCAGTCTCTTCTGGGGACATGTTCTGTCTCCCAGAGTGATCACGTTTTATGACACCATTTACTCCATTACTGCATGGTACATTTCATCACTGTGCAACAGCAGACATATCCTTCATTACGCAAATACTTGACACAAAACTTGTTGACTGCTCTGAAACATTTTTTCTTGCCCTTCAAGCTGTCTTATTTCTCTGTTCAAGGCTGTACAAGTACTACACTGTTATTGCCAGTCCCGTTTTCTGCAAATGCAGGGGAAGGCTCTAATTGTGTCAGCAGCTTGGCTTTCTGGAATTCTCAGCCTCAGCTGCTGTGCTGTGAACTAAGTGTAATCCAGCTGGCCAGCCAGCTTGCTGAGCTCCTGCAAGCTGAACTGCAGATTGTACCCTCAACCTTTTACTGGCTGGGTTAATACAACATTGCAGGGGAGATGGACTGTAATGCAATTATCTTACAAGAAAAACTGAAGGCCTAAAGATGTCTGCCTCTGCAGGGCAGTGGAATGAAAAATAAAGTGTCAGATGTATTACAGCATGATTATACTTGAAATTGCTGTTGTCAGCAAAATAGTGAGTCCAGCCAGATACTCATTGCCATGCAATAGAACACTACTGGAGTTCTAACTAGAAAGTGTTTTTACATATAGTGCAATGGCTTCCCTCTCTTTTATTCTGAGCTTGTATCAGTTAATTTACTGGAAATTTCCTGATACTGAACAGAATGATATGCCCAGAAAGCTTGCCTTCAAAAAGCTTCACTGAATAAATCAGTTGACTTCTGCAGTGGGTGCTTTGAATAGCATAAACTAAAACTATAATACCTCAGATGTAAGTTTAAAAACTTGCATGAGACAATATCAATTAAAAATTCAAATGTCCATTTTAATACCGATTAAACTATGTACTTTTTTCCTACACTGTGGACAAATCAATGTGCAAGTTTATTTCTAGCTTAAAGTCTCCTTACTTGTTTCTGCAGGGATGAAAACCCTGGTTCCCTTTCACTGGTATGTGAATTTATGGCCATGACTGTTTATGAGCTGATAAAAGGTATGTAGCATATGCTTAAGAAACTTAAACTCTCCTTGTGTAGATCACAAAGTGGAATTAATTATTTTTCACTTGGTTTTTCACTGTTACAGATTATAGAACTCATAGGCAATCTTGTACTGTACTGCTTTACCCTTTATTTCTTGGCAGTAGAATATACCCAATTGTTTAAGGCATGGGTGCATGCAGTCCATAGCCATCTATTCCACGGTCAAACAACCTTGATGGCAAAACACAAAATAATTGCTTTATGTTACAAAAAATAAAATTTAAACAGATTCTTTGTTAGGTCATGGCTACCGTGAGGTATTAAAAAAATTATTCTCATTTGTTTCAAAACTATTAAGTCAATGAATAAGGATTTTCAGTTTTTATATCTTTCACTAAGTTTTCTTTATAAAATAACATTGTTCCGTCATAGCTCCTACATTTAAAAATTCTGGAGCTGTTTGTCAAAGCAGGTCAGAGACCATAAAGCTTAAGGAAGAGTTCCTCAAAAAATTTAGAACAAAAGCTGATTTAAAACCAGTTCTTATATAAACAGTAAAGGAATTGAATACAGCAAATGAAGGGACTTACAAGTCATAAGTAAAAAAGAATTTTTTAAAATGCATAATTAAGAATTTGTAATGTCTTAACAATTGGGAGTTTAATTTAAATAACTGAACATGCAAGTGTCATTCAGTGAAATACAATAAAGACTTGCTCCTGAACATGACATTGGTGACACTGACTATTCAGATCTCTAACAAAAGGAGTAACTCTGTTTCTGACCTAGATAAGAATGTGAGATTAAAAATATTTGCTGATTGCTGAAGTAGATATTAGTGTGTACTAGTTTTAATAAGGCATTTTGGGTTTGCTATATTTAGCATGGGATTCAAATGGAAATGAGAATCATCATTTCAGTATGTTCTGATTTTTTTACTATTTAAAAATACAAGTTCTTTCAAAGTTTTCCAGAAGATTATTGTTTTCACACCACTTAGTTGTAGTAACCTCCTTTTCTATGGCACGGTGAATCAGTTCAAAATGAAATCTGTGTTCAGTACTAATCTGAAATGCTGCAGTTAGGGATTATCTGAACATTCATCTGCACTTACCTGAACTTCTGTTAATTGCTGATTCTTCTTTGTGGTCTGAATTTTCAGTCTGGACTGTGTTTACCATGATACAGTGCCTTATTTTTAATGTTGGATAAGGTAGTGGCACATGGGGTGGAGCTTGTCAAATCACAGAATATAAAAGGAAAGTGAACTGAAGTGGACTGAAAATGAATTTTTAATTTGACAAGGAGTATGGAGACACTTCTGTAATTAGGAGAACAGTTCACTGTAATGCTACTAATGTAGAAAGCTGATAATTTTGGTTTTTTTCCTTAAAAGAACAAGAGATCCATGTTACTTCAATCAAGCTTATTTGTCTTTACACAGAGTCCTAATTGTTTTGCTGTTAATTTATAGCAGAAGCATTTAATACCTAAAAATCAGTCTTGCCCTTTATTTAATCAACAGCAGTTTGGTAATTTAAAGCAATGAAAAAAGTGGCTGAGAGAGAGGTGTGGAGGATTTCTCAAGAGAAATGAGAGAAGCCTCAAGTGCCACTGCCTTAGGATTCACTGTACCATTACTGCCAAATAAGGTTTCTCCAGTGATAAATCTGGAAGTAGAAGAGCATCTGCTCCAGATTTTTCTAGTGACATGTAATGAAAAAGCAATTGAGCATGACTTCTTCTTACAAAGGCCCAATTCCTTAAATACGAATAATAATCTAAATTGATTTGAATAGCTGCATTTTATAATATCTTTTCCACTATAAATGACAAAAGTCCTGATGTTGAAAGCACCATTTATCTCTATGGGGGCACTACTACTACAATTCCCAATGTAGATGGTACTCTGTTCCAAGTGCTTTGTGATCTAATCCTGCTCAGTGGATTATGTGGCTGCCTGGAGGAGCACTGCAATCAGCGAGAACACAAGTCTGGCTCTGGGGCTCTGGCCTCAATGAGTTACTGTCCTGATAATCTCCCTCCTCCTCCCAGCCAATTACTCATACTACTGTCATCAGGCAGATCAGTACCTGCTTTGTTTGTCAAAAATGTGATCATTTCTGCCTCTGTTGATGGCATTGCAGCGTTACATAAAGGCATTACAGCAAGATTAAAAGGCCTTTGGAGCCTATAAAAGAAAAAAGCTGAGCAGTTACTGAATGGCTCTGAAAAATAGATACATTTTATAACTGTAATTATTACCTAACAGCAACAGCAAGCTAAACAACATAGGTTAGCCTTGAATTTGCAATTCAGATGTGAATCACAGTCTTTCAGCCATTGTGGTAACTTGAGGTGATTGATACAAATCTTTAACCTCAAGGACAATTACTCTGAGTAGAGAGGAAATGAGATATTTAGAAGTGAAATATTGCAGTTCTGCTAGAACTTGGGCAAATAGATACTGCAAGTAATACATGCAGTAAAAACTAAGACATCTAACAGAATGTTGAATTGACAATTGTTAGCTGAGCTATTCTGGTGCATACTGAAATATAAATTATGTTAGAAGTCGAGTGGAAAACGAACTACAAAGCTAGCTATAAATGACATATAAAAGTAGTATAATTGAAAAAGGTGATATCAATGAACCTCTGGAAGCTGAAGACTGCTATTTGTATTCTATTTGTTCTTCATGCAAAAAGACTCACACAACTTGAAATTTTATTCTAGGAAGGAGAAAGCCATTGCCTTAAAAAAAAAACAAACAAACAGGAACAACATGTAACAGATATGCAAATCTTTAGATTGTGTACCTAGGTAAAAGATCTGGTTCAGCAAACCAAAAATGGGTTCAGCAATATTTACAGCAAATGTAGCACACATTTATTTCAGGGTCTTCTCTAGGCAGAAACAACATTGTCTGGGGCAGCCGCCGACTGCTGCAGGGAGAGAAAAGGCCATGGCCCAGATAAATCTTTGTCTGCAGCAGAGCCCTGGGAGGCAGCAGGCAGCCCAAAGGAGCTGCAGTACCTGCTGCAGGAAGCCCTGCTGGGAGGGGACGGCCCTTGCAATGCTCTGGCAGCCCTGGGGAGAGCAGAAGCACAAAGCCTGGCCTCTCCTTCCTGGACTTGCCCATTCCCCATTCCCATGTAGCTGTTATCTTACCATGATGGCAAAATTTAATTTTTTACTATTATGTTGATAAGTTTGAAAAAAGTGCTGGTTTCTTTAAGGGTTTGTTTTTGTTTGTTTGGTTTTTTTTACAAATAACTAGAAGCACTGATAATGTTTATCTTTTTACTGAATTCTTCTCTCTGCTGTCTTTGTATTAGTACAGAAATGGGATATTTCAGAGTGATGAGCAACAAGAAAACATAATAATAAAGGTAATTAAATTTATGTGAGGATATTTAACTAAGAGTGAGGTATGTATTTTTCTCTTTACCCTGAGAAGGTAATGTTTATTCATGAAGAAAAGCACAGTTTCTTAAGAAATATATAGTCAGTTACTGTATTCCTGATATAGGGGAATGAACAAACAATTTTGTTACTGGCTAAAAATGACTGAGATGCATTACACTCTGTATGTGTTCCCTCCAACCTAAAAACCTGTTCTTTATCCTCTGTTAATATTTCTTTTCATTTCTGTGTTAATCTAGACACAGGAAATAGGGTTCAGTTTTGCAGCTCTTTCTTTCTACATTCAATTCCTACATTTAGTGGAAGTTACACAAACAAAAGAGAGCAGAAGATAGTGGCTTTCAGAAGATTTACTTGTAACCATCTCTCTTTACCATTCCAGAAAGTTATTTTGCTAATGTTTGAAAAGCAAGGATTTTTAAATTCAATTTATGAAATTTTATTTTCTGAAGGTAAATTTTTGAGTCGTACAAGTGTACAGAAGCCAAAGCCACCTATACTACTAAACAGAAGAACTCTAATAACTTAATCTAGATGTCCTATTTAGCAGCCTTTCCTTCTGTGATAGTCCCTGTGCTCTTAGACCATTCCTTTCATGAGGTACAGAACAGTATTTGAATTACATACTATGGGCACAGATATCTTCATGCCTGAACCCTTACTTACTATTTTAATGCAGCTTTACTGCTGTGATACTGCCCCTGGAATTTGGAAAGTTTCTCCTTAAAGTAATCTGTGATTTCTTTTACAATTACTGTTTTACAGTCATTGCTTGAATATTTGACTGTTTGTAATCTGTGGAAATACTTTATTTATTTTTGCAGCAGAACACCCTGAAGTTAAGAGATTTTGGATCTTGTAGGAGTATCTATTCTCAGCAGGCACACAGTACCTCCCCACGCTGGTACTGAGCACCTCAATGTTTGCTTACAAATGGCCTCTGTAGTTACAAAATTGGCATGTGGAGTCCTGGCTGTGTTTTCTATGAAATCACAAGGTACTGTGTGCAGTGGAGGGTTTTGCTTATCATTAATCAAGATAATCAAAGGTAAATAACTCAAATTAGGAGCATGTGGTTTGGATAATATGATCTTCGTTTCCATGGATTTGTAGAAGAAGCTTCTGTGCTTAGTGTGCAGGGTTCATGAGGCAGTAATCCTCTGGTCTGGCACTCTCTTCACCCTGTGGCATGTTAGTAATAGAGCAGTTCAAGAGAACACAGTACAAACAAATGTGATTTACAAGGAAACATTTTGGAACATTTTTCCCCAATCGCTTCGTATCTAGTAAAAATGTATTTTCTCTGCTTTATCTCTGTGTAGAGTATGGCTCATTTCCTCTCATGAGCATCACAGACTATCCTCAGTCTTGTTAATGCACTTAGTGGTAAAATTTTTGCCACTTTTCTTGGACTTTCTAGTACTTTCTGCAAAACCAGAGGAGATTAGAAAATACTCTTCCTCTGATTTACGAATTTGATTTACAGTATATTGTATCTAACACTCCTGTGCTCTTGAGATCTTGTGTGCTGGTATATTTTGAAATCAGGTTCTGATGAAGGAAGAGTTCAGGAAAAAACAAATTAAAGTCTTTTAAGATTTTTGGTGATGATAAAACTATAACTCAAAAAATTTGTCACTGGTCTTCAAGAAAAAAGCAAAAATACCCACCCTGAGTATTTCTCCAATATCTTTGTGCCCTAGCAACAGCAGCAGTTCTTTATTCTCCTCCCACACTGCTGTCTCTGATATGCAACCAGGACTGATAACATTTGCTTTGCTTCTTTCCTCCTCCACATGGCAAGTGCAGCTGCTGCCATCACCATCACATTAAATGACAACCATTATGCTTTGCCTGCTAACTTGTAGAAACATTTCTACTTCTCCAGCCAGAAAACTGTTAAAAGAAAAATCCCAAATGTGGCAGTACTCTTGCAAAGTAAATTGGGACCAAAAGCTAAAGTTGAAGAATGCCTCGTTTTTTCATTTCAACTTGAATCAGCTGGGCTTTGTAGCTTTGTAAGAAAATTACATGCTGCAAACTTAAGTTTTCTTAGGGGAAAAACCCAAACCTGAAAGATATTTCTGTGTAGTTTCAGCTTAATGTAAAAAATTTCACTCTTTTCAACCACTGAACGTTTTCAGAGACCTTACAGGTCTGTTCAGAGAGGAAGGAGGGCTGTTTATTGGCAATGAATGAATTACAAGGGATACAGTCTTGCCAAACTAAAGGCAATTATGGACAGGTTTGTTTCTTTTTCAGTGCCTCCTGCAGTTGTTGCTGTTGAATGGTTGCATAAGCCTTTATGCTTTACAGCACATTGTGTAAGAACTTTTAGTCTCTTATTCAGCCATGCTGATCTTTCAAATCTTGTTTCCCTTTCTGTTCCCTATAAATCATGATTCCTGGATCACACTTTTCAGTGGCTTGCACAGTTGTTCTTGAATTTGTTACAGTTTTACATTTGACAACAGCACATTTTTAGCTCACACAGAAGCTAGTCCCAGCTGCATGTCTTGATGCAGCTGCACAATGTGAATCAGATCTTTTTTCTCCTTCTCTAAGCTTTATGAAGACACTCAGAGCAGTGTGCAGCCAGCTGTTTGATTGAATTTGCAAACAGTTAAAAAGAAGTTTCTCATGTCTACAAAGGGGCTGAGTTTTTTGCTTTCAAGAGTCATGTGGTGCTACTGAAGTGTTTCTTGAATTATAAGCCCAAAGAAAAAAGCAACATGTGCAGGAAATAAATGTTACTGGACCTGACTAAAGTCAGATTGCTGTAATATGATAACAATGTTTTCAAGGACTCTGTGCAAGTTTTATATTAACTGAGGATCAAGCTCAGGAATGCAGTTCACATTATCACCTTTCTATTATTGCTGCTTGCAAAGAACCTGTGTGTTAGGAATGGAGTGTTATAAATACATTTCTGTGTGCATACACAGCAAGAGGGACTGCTTGATTCTGCTGTCTTAAAATAAGGAGCACACAATGTCTTCTAGGATCTGCCACTTTACTAGAAGCAAACACAATTCCAGATCAATTTCCCTTCACCACAAGGGATGATCTCTTTACATATTTTTCCCCAAACCAGCAGGAGAGGGCAGCTACAGGTTTCTGTTTGATAACCCAAGCTACTCCTTCAATGCAAACCAGCAGCTCTGTTGCTCTGCTCACATTATCCTCTAGTTGTTGATCAGTATTAAAGTGTCAACAAATTAGTAATTCTAACATGTTCTCTTCCTTACAAAAAAAGGTTTTTTTAATCAAAAGTAACAGTTCTACTGTGTCTTCTCTAATGTTAATATCATCTCTTACCTTGCAGTTTCCAGCCTCTTTTTCTTGGATGTAGTGAGCTGGACCACATCTCAAAAATCCATGAAGTGTTAGGCACTCCTGGTAACAAAATCCCAAAAGTTCAAGCAGTAAGTATGCACTCCCATAGTTACTAATCTCACTGTTCCAATATCCACAACAGAGCTGTACAGCTGTGTGCAATTTCTGCTCAGGGAACCACCACAAAAACCTAAATCTGTGCTGACACAAGAGCAGTGTCTTCTATCCCTACCCAGAGACAGCCACCCATTCGTCAACCTTACAGGCAGAGCAGAAGAAATCTGAGCCTGTCTTGATCTTGTTTGGCCTTTTCTTTCCATAGTGTCTTTAAGGCCAGTGACATAGATTTTTAGGAAAGAAGAGGGTTTTTTTTTTTAAGTACTACTTACTTTTCCCTAATGAATTATTACCTAAATAAGGTGAATTCTTTCTTTTCAGTAAATTGTAACCCTCTCTGAATATGCATGATTAAGTGTTTGTCTCAGCTTGCTTAACACAGGTCAAGAATTTTGAATTTTGATTCCTCCCTTTAAAGAAAGGAAAAGGAAAGTCTTCTCTTGTGCACAAATTGCCTTTTAAAGCTTTCTATCTCCTGTATGCAATGACAAAATATGACCCAAATGACAGAACTGCTGCCCATCAAGCCCTACAGCACCCTTATTTTCAAGAACTCTGGCAAGTGACTTCAAATCACTTCAATTTTGAAGACTAAAGTCAAAAGGTGAGGGGAGCATTGTATCCATGTTTCAAGTGGTGTGAAATCAAATTTGTTTCCAGTGCTAGTCCTTGTCTTGTCAATCATGAACATAATTCAGTCAACATAGTTCTTTGCACTGAGTCCAAACCTCACCTAAAACACTACTGACACTTGTCTCTATTCTTTTTGCCCCCACCTTTTTAAGACAGCCAATACACGAGCTTTAACCATGCACAAAAAATTAAAAGTAGTAGGAAATATGTCAGGGTAAGTACATCAGTATTTGTGGCAAATTTCAAAGGCAGGTCCAAGACAGGTAGTATTTAAGTGGAAGAACTGTCAGCCCATTTAGAGAAAGTAATTTGTAGCACTGAGCTTGTTAGCTAGAAACAAATGTTTTACTTAAGCTGATTACTTGGGTTTATTCTGTCTGCCTAAACACAGATCTTTATTTGGTCTGATGCAGCTCCTCCTCCCCCCAAATCCCTGACATGCACAAGTTAGAATTTAGAAGCTCTGCTACCTCATAATCCCCTCCTAGACTCTTGTTAGAGTTGCTGTTACTTAAAGGGTCAGCTCCACCTTTATTTTCAAATATAATCATCCTGGTTTTGATGTCTGCCTTGAGTTTAAAAGTTTTCCAGATGAAGTGTGGCAGAGACAGGAATTATGCTTTTGCCTTTTCAGGACATCAGTCTACATTTTGAGCAAATAAAAATATTTTTTTAAAAAACTTAATTATCATGTATATAGATTATATTGGGGGAAATTATAAACGTGCATTTGACATTAAATAATAAATAATTAAAGTATGATTAAAAATTCTGGCAAACTAAAACTTTGTTCATATATCAACTATGTGAAAAATACTCTATGTAATCACTTGCTGTATCAACAAGGTGAGGTGAACTTTCAAATACAGGTTTTTTTCAAAAAAACCCTCAAAACCTCCACAAACTAGCAAAGAACAATTATAAATTATTTTCTGCTGTACATTCAGTTTTGAAAGCATGAACTCTCCTTCTACAGGAGAAGCCACCTTTTCCACAAATTTAGTTCTGGGACTCATCGGTGTAGGTTTTCTATGAAGTTCCTTTAGGCAAGATTTCAAGACACATCAAGTAATTTTTAAAAAGGAATGAGGTGAAGTTGTAATTGGCTGAGGGTTTTTTAATTTCTGATTATTTGGGGTTTCTCTTCTAATTGTATTCCTTAAGATGTTCTCAGAAAGAAATTTAATCTTGTTTATTTATTTTAAAAGCATTCTCTCAGGAAAGTAGGGAAAAAAACCAAATCAACAACATGGGCCTCCACTGGGAGAATTAAGAGAATTAAATTTTTCTGGAGTAGCCAAATTGATTTCCTTTCCTACTCCTACGTTGCATTCCGTTTTCTGGAAACCTAAGGAAGGTGGTGGAACCCCTGTGTTCCAGTCTGTCAGATTTATTGGATCAAATATTGAGGTGTAGACTCTCACTTGCCCACTGAAGCACATTTGAAACTTCTGTTATTTCTTCAACAGTCTGAGAAACAGAAGGCACTTCAGTGTTCCCTGAAACATTTCCATTTGCCTGCTACAGAAGGAATAGAAGTGAGGAAAAGCCTGGCTATGCAGTGAGAGAGACCCAGTCATGCTTCTTTGTTAGAGATCTAACAAGAACAGCAGCGCCTGATTTTGTCTTGCTCTGACAATTTGTAGGAAAACCCCACAAGGTTTGAGGGCTGGTTTCCTACCATTTTGATATTATATTCCTGAAGGGGGTCAATATTTAATTAAAGCATTGTTCTGGCAGAGCACAGAGAGTGTTCTGCATTGAACTTCCTAAGTACTTTTTCCTTTCAGAACCTGGTGGAGGAGGTTGGTTAAAAATAACATGAAAGGATTCTTTGAGTTCAAGTATTAGGAATGGAATGTTATCTACAGAATTTAAGTTTTCAAATTGTATTACAAATGATAGCTAACTGCTGTATTTTTTTCTTAGATTTAAGGGTTTGGGGTTTTTTTCAGTTAGCCCTGGAAATGATTCCCCTCCTGTATTCAGTAACTTCCATCTCAGGTTTTACTGAGAATGTGCAAATAGTGCTAATATATGAGATACTTGATTTTCATGCAGTTTCTGTAACTGCTGAATATTTTTATGTAACTATATTTAAAAGCTAAACCAACTTCTTAGCTGATTGAAAAGCAAGTAAAACTTAGTCATAGTTTGATTCAAGCCATTGATCTTAACATTAATCAAAAGTCTTAACAGGGAGTGATATTGCAGCCAGTTGCTTAAAAGAGCAGTAGAAGCACATAGCTGATAATGCTTCAGAAATCTGGCACACGGATCATCAGCAACAGTTTAACAGAATATTTCCTATTATTAAATAAGGTAAGAGTTAAAAGGCAACATCCTTATCTTACTAGGAAAGAGTCTTTATTCCAAATTGATACCACTGCTTTAAAAATTACTGAGATCTAAAAACTTGCATTAAATAATTTGCAATACTTAAATTTGGTGATGTGTTAGAGAACGTTTTGTAATTTAGAAAACCAAAGTCTGTGCAAGTCATACTTGGCTGGGGCTTAAAAATCTTCTGCCTACCAAGTGTGCATGCAAGACAGGTTTGGCAAAGAACTTTTTTGGAGGTTTTAATAGTTATAAAAGTTGCTCTGCTCATAATGGGGAAGTGATCATCGTTTTTTCCGTAACCAAACACGGGGCTCTGGTGCTGCTGTTCAAAAACCCAGCCATGAGCAGGAGGCAAAGGGCATTTTGTGTGAGAGGTACTGCTGTGGGGAGCACCACGGAAAATGGGGCACTGGGAGGAGCACATCACATCCAAGTCACTTACCAACCCTGAGGCATCAATCTGAGACTTGTGCTCTAGATCCAGACTAACTATTTATTCTAACCAGTTAAGATACACAATGCAGTAAAATACAGGTTAACATCAAGATCCTGTAAGAGTAAAAATTAAGCCTCTTATGTTCTCAGCTCTCCTTCTGAGACTCCACAGGGCTGTGCGTTTGTTAAAATAGTTATTCCTCTCACTCATTTGAGCTCTTCCAGTAAGCAGGCTTTTTGCTGTGGTTTGTGGATTGGTTGGTAGTTTTTGTAAGAGGCATCTCAACACTTGTAGGGTTCTGTTGTGACTGGATTAGATCCTAATCCTTGTTCAGGTCAACTTTGGACAACTTCGAGCATGCCCAAATTCCACACTGAAGCTTTTCTGTGTGGAGAAGCTCATGAGACTCAAGTTCTCTATGAATCCTTTTGACATCTACTGCTTAAAAGCACTTGTCTAACTTATGTTTGTCTTCATGTTTAGAAGATGGTGTTATTATCACATACTATACTGAGGATCAATGTGACATTTGTAAGGAGATTCTTGAAAATGTGAAAATAGTCACAGGGTAAATGTGGTGCAGACTGTGGGAGTATTTGATCTTGATTCAAATTTGACTATCCAAGTTAAATATCGTGCACCTGCATCATGTACCATTGCTCAGTTTATGTCATTTCTTCATAGCAAACTTTCAGAATCTCAATAGCAAGAATGAAAAAACATTCCAGCCTTGGCAAGAATTTTATAGAATTTTGCACTTTATTCAATTTGCACTTGAACAAGGCTCTGCAGGGAAACCTCTACTGCTGCTACTTGCACTAGGTGTGCCAAAGGAAGAGCACATTTCTGTTACTAGGACTGAACAAATACATGAGCCGAGTTTTAGTGGAGGAAGTGCTTTACACCAGTAGAGTGGGAACACTGTAACAAAGGGAAACAGGAGAACACAATGGTACAGCTAACTGCTCCTTGTCATTTTATTGAAACTCCTACTGCATGGATGCTGCTTTCCCCCAGTTCCAAGCAAAAAGTGTTCTCCTGAACACAGTACCTCAAAGAGCAGTGAAGGTATGTAGAACCACAGTGACTGGCTGAGGTTTCCTGCTCTGTTACATTTCAGTGAATCATCTCCCCACATCTCTATGTGCCTTCATGTTAGCAGCTCATGCTGACAGAACAGAGAACTTCAACAATAAGGCAACAGAGTGTTTGTCTGAATACTTACCACAGGGATTTTTTATAGACAGACAGATATGTGAAAGGTATGATGCTACACTTAGAAAATGAAATTAAGGACTGCAGGTCTATAGGCAGGCCATACAGTGCAACAGTAACCTCCAAGTTCTTACCTTTGGAACACTGAGCAAAAGGTGCCATGAGCTTATCCAGGGTTTTTTCCAGAGAGGAAGATGGTGAGTTGCTTAGTGCTGATATATTTGGAGTTGAGCAGAATGAGTAGCATTAAAATTGATAGTCTAAAAATAGTTAACTAACAGGATCCAAGGGAGCTTACTCTCCACTGTTGTTAATTTCTTACCAAAAAAAGGACAAATCCTGCTACCCACATTTGATGGATTGTTCTGACTCAGATCTCCCTTACCTAGCACTATACAGCAGGTCAAAGCTCAGATTATCAAAAGTATATTCCTGATGGAGATGCATTTATTGTATTTGTTGCTTCCCATAATCAGTTTCTGGAAGCCTCAAATCACAGATGCTGAAGTTTAAGTATTTTGACTAAAAATATAAAATTCCATCAAACTGTGTTCTTTCTGATTTCAAAAGTGTTATTGCCACTGTTTGCTACCCTCATTAATATATCAGGTAGGTGATTATTCATACACCAGGAAAAAGATGAAGTCAGAATTTTTGTAAGTTTTAACCTGAAAAAAAAGGGCTATCAGAATAACATCTTGTGTATTATCACATTCTGTGTATCTGGGGCTGTCCAGCTGTTATAATGAGAATGGCAATTTCATGTTCAACAGATCATTTTCGCTATAAAATTGCAAATCTGAAGTGAAGAACCACATTGGAATTTTTGTTCATGTTGTTATACTTTCAGGTGGATCTTGCTCAGCTTGGCACATACAGTACTTCAGGGATATTGATTTCCTAACAAGTTCCTTGCTGTTAAACCTCTGGAGACAACTTACACTTCTCTGGCTGTTGGATGAATAGGCAAACTTGAGTTTTCCCACTGGCTTTATAGTTAAAATACACCCAAACTTTAAACTACAAACTGGCAAGTATAGTTCCTACCCTCATTCTTCCAGCTAAAATTCCATACTGAGATTATCTGTGTTCTGCTCACTTTTAATTATTTTTTAATGTAGTAGGAAAAATATTTTTATTAAAAGCTGTATCTACAGTAGAGGTCTTAAGTTCCCTCCAGGTAAGTTATTAGTATCCTGTTTCTTACTAAAAGAATGTTTTCCACATGGAATAGTGTGATATGGGCAATTCAAGCTTCTAGATGATTGCCCTAATAGTAAAGAAGAGGCTGAAAAAAGAAAATCCACACACATTCCTTGTGTGCTGCTGGACTACAATTTGTGGCAGGGACATACCCTGCCAACACGGATGTGAGTAGCTGCTGTTGTTCCCCTTATGCTGGACATTGCAATTCTTTCCCTACTGGTTTTGTATTTTTCCAGCTGAAGGAAAAAAAGTCTTTTAAAGTTACTGCATATTTCTTCAACTGTTTCATTTTGACTCAGACCATATGAAGCACTTACATAGAAGAAGTCTACGGGGAGATAACTACACTAGTTTTCAGTGATGAGGTTTATCTGTATTTTAACAGTTAAACCCACTATGTTAATAAAACAAAACTTCTGAAAAATAATCCTGCTCAGTTTCAGTATTTTCCCCATTCCTCATATTTTAGAAGACAGATAAGAATTGTAAAGCACAGCTACATCTTGAATAAAGTAGGGAGCTAATTCCCAGCTTATAAACAGATCTGGCAGTTCTCTACATGCTGGCTGCATTGCAAGGGTGAGACTTAGTTAAAGCTACTGCAGTTGCTTCTCCCCAAATGTCCATTCATTTCCTGAAAACAAATCACTTTTCATGCCAGAAAATGTCTTAAGATTACTTGTAATTAAAAAAAATTCTACCGAGCTTTATTGTTGGAGAGCAGGAAGGGCATTAACTTGTGGCCACAGATACAGTATGTGCACCCTCAGGCAAGTTCATTGTTCTGGGCAAGCAGCCTCTGTTCTACTCTGCCTGCAGGATTCTGCAAATCCCACTTGTGAACGTTGCTGCATAAGAAAAAGGGAAGCATATGATGGATACTTCTATTCTCTGTCAGTCTGGGGCTGGACATGGAGGGTTGGTCTTCGCAAGAACTACTGAAAACAAGTTAAGTGGTGTGTTGACTGATTAAAAATGACAGGTGTTTAGACAAGCAACATTAACCTCTGCAAATCCACACTTGTGGATGTCTATCCCCATCACACTTACCAGTTTAAGACCACTGAATTATAAATGAGATGCCTGATGTAAAACAAATGAGTCTCAGAAATGCTACTCCAATATGTTAGCCCAGTTTCTGACTGACATCATAAAGTGTGTACAGCTGCTGTGGGATCTTCCACTTCCCAACTCCAAATGCAGGGGACTACACAATAACAAAATCCTTACCCCATGAAGTTGCCTGTCTGTGAAATTGCTGCTGTATGAAGTATTTAAACTGCAGGATGTGTTTGGGGATAAGCCATTAAGAACAAGAAGAGAAAAACTGTATTTCACTTTCCTAATTGAAATTCAATTCTATTAAATATGAAGCAATGTTCTAGGTGTTTTTGAAAGGAATTTGTTCTACAAAGCTTAGGTAGTATTTCTGTACCAAACATTTAATTCAGCAAAGAATTGGTTACATCAAAAGTGATTGGATTTGAACAGAAAGTAAACAAAAATGCATATTCAAGATAGTTTAATATGTATTTTCTGAATTAGAAATATCACTTTCTTAAATGAATGAGAATTTCTAGTGTAATGATCCATTACTCCCATCCCCCATCACTGAATTACATTATTTATACATATATTACAGAGCCGATTGCAGTTGGAAACAACAATATTAAAATAAATGTTTAATAGATACAAAGGATCTTTTCTCCACAACATAGTTTTTCTGGTGTCTGGACACCAATTTTAAAGTAATTCTCTATAAGCATTAAACTATTTAAGTGCAAAACAATTTTGTTTTAAAAAAATCTATGATTGCAGCATCCATCTTCCTGAAAAACATTTTGAAGCCAGAAAGTAATGACTTTCATTTTCCATGAGTGCATTCCAGGCTGTCTTCTAGCCATCTCTGGTTAAAAAAATCAGTGCAAAATAAACAATGGTGAAGTACTAGTTTAACCATTGAACTTACTTGAATTTAAGAAACATATCTTATTTTACACTATATATATATATGTATAACTTTTATTTATATATTTATAGAGAGATTAAATTACACTGGACTTGAAAAGTATAAAGAAAACAAAAATGTTACTACTTTTTTCCTGCAGTACTAAAGGAAGCTTTTTGCTTTTTCTCCAATGCAAACTCTTCCTTGGGTGAGCAGCCTAGCAGGATCAGCTGTAGTGAGAACTCCTTACATTTGTCCTTTGCAAGTCACTATGTGATTCACATAATTCCATGTTTACACTCTGCCACATTATAATTTGTGATGCTCTTTGCCTGAAGAACAGCTCCTGGTTCCACTGCCATTACTTCTTGTCCTGCGTTCAGAGATTTGCTAGCAGTAGTGTGATGCTATACTACAGTTCCACTTGGAGAATTGGCCTGGTTTTGGGATGACAATAAACCCTGCAAACAAAGCAGTTTACATTAATCCAGCAAGAGAACCTGACATGAATTTTATAAAGTTCTTAACCTGAACCTATAATGAGTACAGTTGATTTTTACCAACACTTGCTTATTAGCACCTTCTCTCCTCCAAAGGCTCTAAGCCACCACGATCTCAGGCAAGCAGTGCACAAAGAGCTCTCAGACAGGAAGAAACATGTGCGTTTATGACACGGAATGGATCTGATCCCAGCATTTGGTTTAATCTACCTTGCACTTGGAGTCACAGTGAACTGTGAAACTTTAAAAATCATACACCAAAAAAGTGATCAGCATTTTACTGGGGTGGTGTCAAAGCCTATTCCGATATCAATGTTTGACACCTGACCTGATACAGGGAAACACTCCATCTCTTATATGTGGTTGAGTATTACAAGGTTGGAACAGAAAAATACATCATCTAACCAAATATTTGTTTTGGTAATTTTAAAACAGAATGAAACCCTGACAAGAGTTCAGTAGAGATTTCCTATTACAATTTAAGTTCACACTCAGGAAAACTTGGTACCAGCTCTTCTAACTACCCTGCCATTCCAATCAAGAGCCTTATTTCACACACAGCCCCTCAGGTTACAGCAGCTACACCTTAAACCCCTGGGTACCAATGGACAGACTCCATTTCAGATTTATGCATAGTAGCCACTTTTTAATAATTCTCCTCAAAGCAACTTTATCAGGCTTACTTAGGAAAAGCTTAGTGTCAAAATACAATTTAGCCTTATAAGGGCATTAGCTGGTTGTACTGAGTGCCAGCAGGCCAAGGAGCACGCTGGCAGCTGGCAGCACACCAGCAAGTATCCCCATGCAACTCCTCACCTGGCAGCTATCATAATTGCACTTTCAGCAACTCCTCTAAGCAGCTCCCAGCTTATGTTCTTACCTCAAAATTAAGATCCTGGGACTCAGATCCACCAAACTAGACAAGATCAGGCAGCAATTAGCATACAGAAAAAGACAGAATTATGTCACTTCTTCAGAATCTACAGGAGCTCTTTCAAACTCAAGAACTGAGAGGTCATGATGATGGAAGTAAACCCTGACCTCAGAAGAGGTGGAAAGAGGGGAAAGAGGGCCAGACTGACTGGATTCAAGTCATCAAATTCCTGTGAAAACCAAAGCCTTTCTTTTTAAAAGAACATCTGATCATTTCAAACATGTCATGAGCCTGGATAGCTTGTAGGATTTATGACAGACTGTATTTGCATATGGTCCATATAACATTTATATATAACAGACCACATGGAAATTAACTTGGTGCCTTCCACAGAGCTCACCTGAAGGAACCTGAACACCTTTATTTGTATTTGTTTATGCAGGGAATATCTGGTTCAGACACTGTTGAGGTAGACTGAAGTGGGTTGTTCTTTACATTTGACATTTGGGATGTGCAAGGATCCTGCATATTTCATGAGAACAAAAAGTTTCCTAGTTATTACTTAAGGACTAGATGGTGAAAGAAGGCAGAACTTTAGAACAAACAAGCCACTGAAGCACTTCTGAAATTTTTACCAGGAAAGTTTTGTTGCAAAATGACAAGGTTGAATCAGAATTCACTAGTTCATTACTGAAGCATTCTTCACAACTCTATTAAATCCAGCAGCAACTGGAAGGTCTTTCTTGTCAGAAGATTACATCCACTAAGCAACTTTGAAGTACCCTGGAAAAAGACGTCCAAAGGTATTATTTTCAGTTTTAATTAAATCAGCAATCCAAACTGTTCATATGCAAATATGTGCTTTATAAGCACACAGGAAGCTCTAGGGATGGCATAATGTCAAGTCTTTTTCAACAGGCTCATAACAACCCTATACAGGAGAAATAAATCTATTCTAGCATTGGATTTACATTGTAACACAACCAATTCCTGGGAAACAAAATGAAGTTCTTTTCCTAGGATTCCTCTAGAAACTGGCAGCACATACTGAAATTCAGTGTGGTGCCTTATTCCCTGTGAACTATGAGCCATTCTAGAATACAAGTTTCAAGACTAGGAACAAGGAGTCAGTCCTGGTTACATCTCATAGGTGGTGAATGCTCCCTGCTGTGAAGAGCAGCAGCTCAGTGCAGATGGCCTTCAGTGAGCACTAGGAATTCCTTGTATGTCAGTCCTTGCTCTGAATTAATTCTGCAACTCTGAGCAGGCAAGCCAGAGGAACAATGAAGTGGAAATAACCTCAAGACCAATATCCTTGTGCTTCTGCAGATGGAACAAATGTATGCAAGTACTGCCTTAAAACTTGGACTAGGCTATGATGCCATTCAGAAATTCACTCCCAGGGGAGAGACCACAAAGTTTGTGAGTTCTTCCAAGTACTTGATTTCAGAAGAGATCTTAAATGTTTATACAAGAAAAGCAAGAGTATGAATTTGGTTTTTAGGCACATAAGTTTCACTGAAGGTGGTGAGTTCTCAGTGGGTCCTGATTGAAACAAAAATTCTACAGCATTTTGCCATTGTTTCAGAGCCTTCCAAGCAAGGCTATTAATCAGAATGTGTTTGGTGATAGAGGAAAACAACCTAAGAAAAGCAAGTGAGGGCTCAAATAAAGTTACTGCTCTGATACAAAAGTTCTCAGTAAATCTCATCTGTGATACAAAGGGTGTGGCATTGGAACAGTTGTAGTTACATTCTCTGGAAGAACACGATGGGTAAGGTAATGAAAAGACATAAAAAAGTTCCTGCCTGTAAAGAAAGAAGAAAGCCATTAGAGTGTAGTGCTTTCTGTGATGGAACCACCCAGTCTATCAGGTGGGAAAAGATGAAACAAAAGCTGCAGCAACTTATTAGAGCAACAGCCAAGTCAGCCTGCTTAAGAGCTGTGACAGAAACAGGGAAGGGCAGAGCCACAACAGCTGCAGCTCTGCCGCGTGGTGCAGCAGCTTCGGCCTGAGGACAAACAGATCCCACTGAGCAAGCAGCAGGAACAAATTAAGACACTGCTCAAAGTTTTGTAAATAAATGTAGTGTTTTATTAGCAGTAGTATTTTGTCAGCATAGGAGTCTAGCAGGCGTGGGAAATGGAAGAGTTATGAGATCCAAGAGAGGAATTTAGTGAAACAATATTCATCCCAACCTCAGAGAGGTAGCTGCTGTCATCTCAATGGGACACTGCACAGCTGAGCAATGCAGCTGCAGAGGATGGGGTCATTTTTCCTAAGTCAGTCAGTGCTGTGAGTGCTGAACACAGGCTACCTCCTGTTTATCCATGCATTCTCTGACTTCCTGAAACACACAGGACTTTGCACATCTGGTGAAAATATGCTGGCATGGGGAGGAATGAAAAGCCATAACAAACACAATCAGGAAGGCCATTTGCACCCGAGGTTCATGGCACTCATTGCTGGGGTCTGTCTGCTGCAGCAAACAAACCCTCCTCCCCATGTATGGGATTGTGAGGAGAGGGGTGGGTATATTTTTAAAAATTCCAGATACAATCCAGACAAAAGTCTGGGGTTTTTTACCAATGACATGAAATGCCATGTTTCACAAGAGAAACTAATTCTATGAAAGATCAGCATGTAATTGCTGTATTAAAAAACCACCAAAAAAAACCCCAAAAAAGAACCCCACACCCACAAAAAACCAAAAACAAACAGGAAGGTATTGCAATATTAAATAGGAAAATAGTAAGCAGTAGCCACTGAGTTAATATTTTCTTAATTTAAATTAGAAGATGTTTAATTGGAGCCAAAGGTGCAATCATACACAGTTCCACTAATCTAGATAATACACAGCAAGTTTGGACATGCAAGCAGGATACAGAAAGTGCATGTCTCCTTCAGGGAAACAGCTCCACTGGCACTCAGAACATGCTGGATGTCAAACTCTGCTCATCTTTTTACTTTCTGGTTTGAAATTGAAAGGTAGAAAAAATAAAGGAAAGGGTCCAACATAACAAACAATCCAATGTAAAAAAAGAAGTCTCATAGTACACTTCACTAATGCAATTAAACCAGTTAAAATGTGTCTGAATTACCAAATGCCCATACAAGAATGGTACTGGTTTGTTAAACTATTTCTACTATTGCCAGTATGTAAAATAATGGGAAGTTATTATTTGAAAAATACTGCAGAAGTAGTTTATTCTTGTCCAGAACTGTGATATTCCTGAGTAATTAGGGTTACTAGGTAACTAGAGTTACAAAGTAGTCTGGACTGAAGCTTTGCTTGAGAAAAGAACCCATGGTCCATTAATGTTGGAACAATAATACACCAAAACCAAAGTGAGGTTTCTCATATTTGTTTAAAATTCTGTAGTTAAATTAGCTGAACTGGTTTTAAGACTTGCACGAACAAAATCTTCAAGTTCTTTATCCAAAGAATAAGTTTTTAACAGCAAAACTTTCTAAACTTCATATACTCACTAAATCATATATTAATCTAATGGAGTAATAAAATTAATTTAGTAAGAATGCTCAGGAAAGCACATGCTGCTCATATACATAACATGCTACAGAGAAATATTCTGTAGGGTTTTAGGGGGATACAGCAAAGCTGAACACAGTTTGTGTGTTCACTAAATGGGCTTTTAAATTTGTATTCCATTTGCCTTTTTTTCTCTGTTCTGATAACATTACACAAAAGTATAAATACATAAACCATTTGACACCAGACCTTATAAAAGACTGTAGCACCTTTAGGGTTTCACTTGAAACTTCTCTTCTGTGCATATAAAGGAGTTTTAACAGAGGTGACTGTCAACAAAAAAAAAACAAATTCAAGGCTGGTAGAAAACCATCAGTAACTAAAAATCTGTCCAGTAGCACTAGGTGAATGGAAGATATGCAGGTCCAAGAGGAAAAAAAAGTAAGATGCAACTACTTGGGTGCTTGAAAATGCAAAAAGGCTTTTGCCAGCAGAAACCTGACCTGGGCTCAAAAATAGGACCTTAAGCTTCAATCAAGCAGTAAGGGCTCACAGGCTTATAAACTGTTGTTTCTCTACTTTCCTCAAACTACAAAAGTCAGTTTAGAAAATAATGTAATTGAGATAAACCAGGGAAAACCTCAGGGAAAAGCATATGACTTAAGGCAACCCCATGTGAGTTAGCAGTAAAGCAGCTGTGGTCTTAGCAGAAGAAAGGAGGCAAATGAGTTTGATAAGGTTGAGCAGCACCTACCTAAAATCCAGCTTCAGAACCCAGAAAATAGCATTATCTTAAAAGTTATTTCCTTGAGAAGTTAGTGCAACATTATGAAAGGCAAGTAAAATGATACCTTCATGTTTCAAGCCATATTTTGCCAAATACCTTCTCTGACCACAAAACCTGTGGAAGCTGTGTTTTGTTTCAGGCTCACACTGACTATTGAGAAACTGGTTTGACCAACCAGTTCTTGCATAATTTGATATAACTGGATGTTCCAGAAGTGTTCAAGCAGATTTCATTTTTTTCTTTCACTGGCCCCTGTTCTTAAATATGCATCTATGTTCTATGTACAGATCATCACAATGGTCAATCAATACCTTTGAAGTACTACAAAGTTCTCAAGTTTACATAAGATGATTGCCTCAGCTTTAGTCTACAGAGTACTTTTGCACAAGAGACAAACAAGAGTCCTCCCTGTCAGACTAGACACAAAGTAACTCACTTTTACACTGAAATTCCTCAAAGATGCCTCTGAAACATTTCAGTAAATAGCATTTGTTTGGCTTTTCTTTGTTAACAAAGAATCACCGCTGCAAAGGTGAGACAATGCCTAACCCCTCAAAAGGAAGGGCAACATCTGAAGTCTTCACCTAAATTTGCTCCAAGGAATTTTGCAAAGTTTTAGACTAGTTTATTTTGGTTCAGATGAGTTTTAATGCTAGATTTTTTTCTAGACAGAAAATGCTTGAATCATCTGTATGAGCCATATCCTCAGGGCTGTAAATTCAGCAATCATTAGGTAAACACCAAGATCTAAAGCTGGAATAAAGAACATACCCTGCACCAGAGTCCACAGAGGAAAGAGCTCCTGTAGAGTCCTAGAAGGAATGACGACACTCTGCCCCAGCTGCTACCGGACAGGAGTGCAGAGAGAATCTAGATACAGCCATGTCTGTGTTCTGCTGAATCTGAGTTCAAACAAGTTTGAAAAGTGGTTTGGTAAGTATTCTGTTTCATGTTACTCTAGTCCTAAAAAAAATAGCTACCTTGAGTCACGACCTTATCAGCAAGCTTTAAACATCAAAACATCTGCATAGTCTTGAGACAAATTGAAACATTTTCTCAGAGCAGGTTACAGATGTGATCAACTTCTTACTTTAAAGCATGGCAAGTTAACAGTTTCATTGTGGCCATTTGTTCAGCACAGTGTGAGAGCACAAGACCACCTAAGCACTGCAAGATAAATTAAAACTCAAATGTGGAAAGGACTATTGAAAGTTATCTACATTTACAGTTCAATCACACATTTTTATTTAACGTCAGTATACAGAGGACAACCCCAGCAAGTTATTTTGTAATGTCAAGTATTTAGTAAAGTTCTTCAGCTGTAACAGTGACAATAGAACAGCTAAAAATAAGCAGTATGAAACAAACATGATCTTCTTAAAATTATAAATATACCAACAATACTTCTTAAAGCTTAATTATTGCAACAGTTAAATTAACAATAGTTCATGTTAGAAAGGCTCTATGAAATTTATTCAAGTTGTCAAGAAATTAGATGGAAGTGTAAAAAGGAAATACATATGAATTTTACTTTTGATTTTCACTAAAGGTAGTCAATACAATTTTGTACAGTATCACCTAACATGTCAATCTTTAACAAACTCCAGTATACAGAATCATAAAATGCAGAAAAAATAGTTTAATCTTTACATGTAAATTGACAGTAAATTAACTGACACAAATTTTATTATTGTAACATAAGCAGGCCAGCATTTTAAATATTAATTTAGTAGTTTTATGTTGTTAAAGGGGCAGACATATACAGTCATTCCAAGTACATACTCAAATTTTAAGAGGTGATAATGCAGAACATGGGTTTTCTAGAAAGTGTTTAGTAAAAGTCATGTTATTTCCTAATCCAGACATCCTCATCATAAAGCCTTTACAGGGTTATGATCTCTCCTGGCTTTACTGGAGCCACTTGTCACACCTCCTCACACACGCACACACACATACCTTGCTATAAATATCACACCAGTGTACTCTAGGTTTAATTCACCCTGACAATGTGGGTATGCCATGTGCAACTTTGCTATTGTGCACATTACAGAAAGCTTCAAATTTTAGCATGGTAACCTGAAGTTGTATAGCTGTGTTTCAGTTTAACTATAATCATCCCTGAAGTTTATACAGATACCGTATCACGTTGAAAGAAATCTATTTGATAGTACTTAAATACCAGCAATTGAACTTCAATTGTAATGATGAAATGCTCCTTTCCACTGAGGAAGAATTAGTATGTATAGCTGCTCGTCTCACTCAAATATAGTACATGAATGTTTAAGTACTTTCACTAAAACAGAAGTCATACTAAAACATGATACTGTACTACAATTGTAGTTAACTAGAAAATTCAAGGATGTTATAATTTAAGTCTAAGTTTTCCTGTACAATAAGTCAAATAAATAAATTCCATGTGCATTTGTTTTACAAAGTGGTAGGATGTTTCTCTTGCTAGGTTATACACTACCATTTCACCTGGAGGTGCTTTTGGCCAATCTTACCTTGAGCTTTCTGACACAGGGAGCTCACCAGCAACTTTCACTCATGGAAAATGGAGTTGCTGCACAGACAATGAACAGTCAGTTCTGAAGTCCAACACAGAAATCACATAAGTAGTGACTCTGACCACTGAGTTCAGAGAAAACTTATTTTGCATATGCAAGTACCACTTTGGGGTTTTGTGGGTTGCTTTTGTTGGGGTTTTTTAATTGCTTCTGCAGATCCTGTAATTCAGTTTGACGTAGCTATAAAGATAGCACAATAAAGTTTACTTTTGTTCCTTCCAAATTCTATCTTTCCAGATTAATCCAACAGTTCTGTAACCCCGTTTAAATTTGCCATCAGGGCCTGGGAAAGACAGGGGTGAGAGACGACAGCTAATTGTCACCATGTTGAGAAGAAAAGCTCACACTCTTGTTAAGGCAACCTATTTTTCTGACCGCCTTGAACCTTCTTTCACAGAAACCAGCTCACCAAAAAAAAAAAAAGAGAATAAAAAATTGAAACTAATGAACCCTGAGCCTCATCCAACTTGTTTCTAATTGAATTTTGCCATTCGCTTCACTTCACTGACTGGGAGTTGGCAGAGCAGTTCTGGAAGTGCAACGCAAGGACGGTGCATCCCGTGAGGAAGCTCAAGGTATGATTTGGTACACACCAAAGCAGTAATTTGGAAAGTTTATAAACAAACTGTCAGGACAATATCAGCACTGTACAGACTATCAACTATCACAGGGATCATGGCTGAAGAGACACTTCTGGATTTATTTTCCACTCAGGGCAGCACAAGCCCAACCAGAAAAATAAACAGAATGTGTCATACACTGTCAAATTATCCAGCACATGTTTTGATGGCTGTTGGAAATGAGAGGGAGAGGTAGCACTGGCTCAATGGAAATTACATTAGACACTGCAAGCCTCCTTCCCTTTTCCATCCAATTCTTTCTTTAGGCTGGCAGTGGCATCAATTTAATGAAGGCCTTCTGAGGCAATGATGGAAGCAGCAGCAAGATTCAGAGGCTTGTACTCTACAGAGTTGGCAGACAAAAAAGTGACAGAGCTTTAGGATCACTTGGGGAGCCATGTGTCAAAGGAAGACTAGAAATAGCAACTTTAAACCCCAGAGTAATGGGACATCCTAGGATAAAACAGCTGGTGAAACAGAAATGATGGTATATAACCCAGTAAGAAAGACATCACCATGAGTGTTTTATACTTTGACAATTCTCATTAAATAAAATTAAGTGCTTTCCTATAAACAAAAAGGATGCTCATAACGTCCTTCTGGCACAAGTATTTTCCTAACAAAGCCCTGTAAACATGCCACCAAAATTTAGTTTTTACCAGCAGAGTGAGCTCACTAGAAATGCAAGTGAAATCAGAAAAACAAATTAATTTGTAAATTTCTAAGTAAATACATCCTAAAGAATATGGCATTTACATCAGTGTGCAATATATTAATTTTGAAAGTGATAACTTCAGCATGAAAATTACTTACCTGTAGTTAAAGTTTTCCATATTGGCCAATACATAAATCCTGATTTTTGGTACTGCATACTTTATCTCTGAAATATTTGAAATGTCATATTCCAAATCAAAGTCAATACACAAAAATATTTAAGTTATACTCAGTCTAACAAAACCCACCTCAGCCACTGAAAAATAAATGTGACATGTAGTGTTTAATAGTATTCAAAGGAGTTTTAGAACAAAAAGAAAATGTAGCTCACAATAGCAATCTGAGGCACTGCTGTAATTAATAAGATGTGAAGTGCACCGAGTCACAAAAGTGTAATTGCTTTAATACTTTCATTTTGAGCAAACATTTTAAATAATTTAGTGTTTTAAGGGAGTGCTTTTATTTTTTAATTAATGCTGGATTTGTAGTTCTCAGGCAAAAAAATACTTTTAGGTAACACCCTCCTCCCTTCTCCCATAAAGGGGTTTTCAATTTTAAGTTTTAGATTCAACCTTTAAAGATGCATTAAGATGCAGAACAGACACAGATTTTTACGCATACATATGTTGTGACTAATTTGATAAGATCTCAAAAAAGCCTACATTATACAAACAATTTTTAAGAAAAATAATTGAGTTTTACTTGCAAGTTTATAGTAATGAAGATGTGGTATCTAAATATATACAGTACCTCTACTTCAAAAGTCAGATTTACGAACCAAATGGTTAAAATCTAACAAACAACAGATTTTCATTTAAGTTGCTCAACATGGCATTACTCAGGTATTACCAGATCATTGCTCTTACTTCAGGTGATAATCTACATCCCCTTTCAGAAATTTTCACAAAAATAATGGTTCTTTTTCTCAGATCAACTCTGGAAATGTTTTCACAGCTGTATTCCTTTGAACTGTTGCTGGCAAGCAGAGCTATTGTAGCACAAAGTACTTTTTAATGTAAGAATCACCACATTTAGCTTCAGTCAAAATTTAGCTATCTATACATTGGACAAAAGAAAAATAAAATATTATAGGTGTTCAAGTGCATCAACAACAAGAGTGAAAACTGGTAACAGACTAACGTAGGTTCAGCTGATGGAATAGGTGCCATCAAAAACACAAGCTTGTAGTGGTTGAACTGCCTCAACAAACCTGACAGGAACAGAACACTGAAACTACTGAGAGAAAGCTTGCAGGATTTTCCCTAACTTAAATACATAAATCAAAACCTGGCTATAATTAGAGTTCTTTGTTAATACTGATTCACAATTTAAGAGCATAAACTACAGTCAGTACAGGGCTCACAAATCTGTGCATAAAATGGCTGATGTTTTAATAAGAAGTGGTTTCACATTAATGGCAGGCCACCACAGAAAAGAATGGAGGAATAAAACACTTTGGTTTTCACTTTTTCAGAGGCTCACGTTTCTCATTAGACTTAGAAGCAGCAGCTTTTCATAAGCTACTCTCATTGGGAGTGCTTATTTTTTAGAAAACATTAGAAGGATTATGATTATTTTAGTGTTTGACAGGTTTTACTTCAATTTTTACATAAATAGCTTTCACCATATTGTGGTTATGCTTAAGTATAAGAACACTGATCAATAGTTTAGATGCACAGTATTTATTTCTTCTGCTGGAAGGCAACTATATTTAATAATTGTATCCAAGACACTTCAAATCATTCAGAAATATGGCATGCAGTATCCAAAAGTATGGCTCTGAGGATATTTTTTTACATTAAGCATAAAGAAATTTTATATTCAACATTCATTATATTTCAAGAAAACTATCTATTCAGAGTTCTAGCTCTTTGATGCAGCATTAAGGATTAAAACTTACCACTTTACCAGGCCTTGCCCATGTGCAAATAAATCCCTCCTGACAAGCAGTGACTATACAGTCTTCAAGAAAAATTAACACAGTCAGTCTTTCATGTGCTATCTTTTTACAGATAAGAGGCTCTAACAAGGGAACATCTTCCATTCGGGGACAGAGAGGTGTTCCCAAAGTTTTAGCTGGGTCCGTTTTGGTTTTAGTAACTAGGTTCAGTTTGTCACTGCTCTTGCTAGATATATGTCCCATGCTATGGTTTCTCTTGTGATCTTTCTCATGGTGTCTTTCCTTCCGATCGTGTAGCGATAAGGTTGCAAATTTACTAACGCCAGAAGCAATGGCACCATCCATGACACTGCTTTTACTGCCAGCATTTGAGACTGCAGAGTGTGGAAGGCTGTTGGACCGTGGAAGAGGAGGGGGTACAGAGTTTCCAGGTGTTGTGATACTGTTTCCATTACTTCCTGGGTTAGTTCCACCACTTCCTGCAGGTGGACTTGTGGCATTCATGACATTTGTATGTGTCCTTGCTCTTGAGAGAGGTTGGTGGGGGAAGAGGATATCTTCTGTAAGATCCCACAAACAGAGCTGCGTGTCCTGGCCTACTGAACCAAATCTATACGTAACACTTACTGGACGACTGTCTGTAGAGTTCCTTTTGGATAGTCTAGATTGCGTGCTATTTGCTCGATCTCTGCCAAAATGAAGGTCTTGGAAATCCTCATCGCTTCCGCTAAATTCCATCGGGTCGCTCTCTTCTACACTAGTGGTATACGGATCAAACGCAACGACACTGACCCACGATTTATGGCCGTGGCCTCTCGCTATGACTCGACAGTCCACGAAAGACCAAACTGTCACCAAGTCATCCTCTCCGCCTGTCACTATGTACTTCCCATCGGGGCTCCAACACACACACAGCAGTCCTCCAAAGTAGCTTTTCATTGTACCATGCAATTCCACCGAATCAAAGTTAAACACACGAAGAAAACCATCCTGGCTCACACACGCCAAGAACTTCCCATCGGGGGAAAAGGCAAATTCGTTCAGGGCACCCTCACCTACTGTCCACTTAAGCAGAGGGTTTCTTGTGGATTTGCTCTTGCAAGTGTGCACTGCAAAACTCTCTCCTTGTTTAAGTAGCTGGTAGTGCGGGGCTGTGGTACCACAAGTGTGCTCCACGTTATACAAGTACATATTGCCACTGGAATGAGCTACTAGGAAAAGGCTTTCCGAACCTGGTACCCATTTTACACAGGTTACTCGGGACTTGTCTATTAGTCTCTGTGAAAAACAAAGAAGATACACATCAGAAACTCTGAAAATTAAAGTTTTCGTGATTAACTGTAAATCTGAGCTTTCTGGGGGATGAGGAGCAATACTTAAATAAAGTGAACTTAACTTTCTAGACAGGGACTATGTTAGTTACTGTATTTGCTAAAACTTATCAGGCAGTAAAGAGGGAATTATTTTCAGACATTCTTATGGTCCAGTCACATTCTACAAAGACTGTACTTCAGTCAAGCCAATCTGTTATGAATCTAAAGGCAGTGCTCTTTGGTTTACTTTTCCCTGTGTAGGTTGAAGAGCATGAGAAGGCAACAAGAAAACATTTAATAAACTAAAGGGAAAAAAAGCACTTAGTCATCTATACTATACAGCAAACAGGTTACAAATCAACAACAGTAAATTCAGGCTCTGATTTTATCTGAAATCACAAATAAAACCCAACCTCTGAAAAAAAACCTACCAGCTTTTACTGATTCAGGGAGCAAAGGCTGCATACACAGTGACCCTGTTATCATGTGGCTGCAAAGTCAGTAGGTAAATGCACGTGGCAGGGTGAATTCACAGGGCACCACAAACTTTCACCTTGGAATCCCCAACCTCCAATTATTTTTCTTTCAATAGCCAAGGACCTATCAATACCCTGTTACCATTTGATTAAGCACTTTCCTTTAAAACAAAATGTTTTACTGGAGTTCATAATTGCAAAAGAATGCACACACATTAAACAAACATTCCTGATCTTGACTTCAGTACTCTAAGAACTGAGAGGTGAAGTGTGACTCCTTTGACTACTGTAGTTCTGGTGGACTTCCACAACTTACCACGTTGTCCATAGCACCACTCAGCTGTAACTTGCAGACAAGTAATTCTTTACAAGCACATTCAAGATTTGTATTTGGCATATTCATTGTAAGGAGAAAGAAGAGCTGAGCCACACAAAAGGCAAGAGTGCAAATGTAAAGAGCCTAAGGAATACCAGAACAAGTTGCAAAAGCCCTAAGAACAAAGAATCCCACCCCACCTTGCTATGCTGTTTATCACACACAAAAACATCAAACTAATGGGTAATACATCAACTGTTATCTGTTGTGGAACTGGACTGGAAAGCAGCACCTGGCCATTCTAGATTACACTTCTGCTGCTGTCAACCTAAGTATAAAACCAGAAAGTCTCTCCTGTAATTTTTCATTGGTTAAAACAGCCATGGTATATTTGAGATCTGAGAGATGTAACTAAATATGGCAAAGTTCCTTCAAATGGAGTAGCTTTAAAATAATAGAGTCTATAATTCTGTTGTCATATAGTCTGCAGTTCTGTTGGGATATTTCATCTAGTTTGTCGTGTATTCACTGATATATATCATGCATAGCTCAGTAATGATGGCATCTGATACATTAGGGAGAAAGTCACCTGGCACACACTAGGAGAACAAGGGCAGGGAACACCAGCCCAGCTGGTTTCCTGTAGGCAAGAGTCTTCTCACTGCCAACATGGCAACAAAAGCAAAATTTCTTGCTCTCTACTAAAACAGCTCAATCTGACATACAACCTTTACTCATAAGAGTACCTGCTCAACTTTCATACTAGATATGGCACTTTATGTCCTACATGATCCTAAATACTGCAGAGAAACTCCACAAACCTGGAGGAGGCTGCAAAAACCAGAAGATTACAATTTGCAATGAGAACAGATCAGCTCAGGGAGACAAGATGCAGAGAGACTTTAATCTGCCATGTACAAGTGACTACAACACATCCCCTTCTCAAGATACAAACTCTGAAGCTGTGACTTCTGTGAGTTTTAAAAGCTTTCAGCTGGGTTCACAAAGTTCTGCAGCACAACAAAGCCAGACCTGCAGCCAGTGGGAGCAGCAGATGCATTACAAGAATGGTCTGAATGCAGTATCAGCACATCAATGAGGGATGTGAGATAAAGAGCTGATGTTCAGTTTGATGGAAGAATAGGAAGTGAAGAAGCTTCACTCACCAGGCAGAAACACTGGCCAAGATTATCTTGGTCGTGTTTTGGAGAACTTGAAGGGACAAAATTACAGGCACAGGCCACAATTGACTGAAAAATCTGAGGCAGTCAAAGAATATGCACTAAGGTCTTACACAGCTTTGGCAACAAAGATACAGGACAAGTTTATTAGGAAAAAAAATGCAGCTCAAGGCTTCAGTTTAAATTAAAAAAGGATTAAAAAGTAAGATTAAAAAGCACTGGCTAATTTGATAATAACCAATTACCACCTGGAAGCAACTGAATCTGTGAGGTGTATTAGACTGGTTTGGGCAGTAAGAAAATATCAGTGGTTTAATTTTGACACAACTGGAAGGAATACCACTGTGGCTACAGATGGATTGATGTAGGCAGCCACAAGCTGCACAGTATCTATCACCCACCTCAGCCTTTCAAGTCCCTATCATCCTCTACATCAACAGCATTTTTTAAAAAATTAGTAACAAGTTAAGACTATGCTAGGGCTATTGCATTTTTTGTTCAACATAACCTGTAATAACAGGATGAATTATTTCATGTATCATATATATTCTGATTGCTCTACCACAGCTGATAGTCAAAGCAGAGCTCTGGGCTACCTGAAGCACCAAATCACTCACAGGACAGGTGGTGAATTCTGTTACCTCCAGCATGAGTGCTGGATCTGTAGAACAACGTTAACACTCATTCAGACCACCTTATGCCTACAGTTGTTCCTAAAGACTATCTAAACTCCAAATATATTCAAAATCCAATAGGCACCTTCATCTTGAAGCAAATGAGCTGGTTCAAACATCAGTGCTCACTAATGTTTCTCTGAATGGGACCTTAAATACAAGCCAGAACTTACAAACATCTAGGGCAAACTTCAATACTGGAATTGACAGAATAAAAATATATTTCAGTTTTAGAGCTGGTTGTAACTGCAGATAAGGTCAGTGTAGGAAACAAGAATCTGTCATTTAACTGTAGCTTACTGTGTGTATTTGGTAGCACTGAGCAAATCCTTACATTAGCTTGGTAGAAGAGAAATCACCTCATTTAAATTTCCACCAAACTGTCAAAGGCCACATTTCCATCACACTGAATAATCTGACAACAGCACAGACAAAAAGCAATACTGGCTGATGGAAATTGCTTCACTTCTTCCAGCATTTGGGGAATACCACAGGAACTATTCAGCCTGCAACACAGCTCTGCACTGCAGTCACCAGACAGTAAACACCATCAAGGCCTGGAAATGTGCACTGGGCCTTGATTATAAGCATTCCACCAGAAGTTTTTCTCAAAGGAACTATAGCTCAGCTGCAGGAGTGGGAACTACTCTGTGATATGAAACCAGCTGTTTAGAGTATGTCTGCTACCCTTAATACTTACAATGTTCTTGTACAAGAACAAATAACACACTTTGGGGGGGGTAGGTGGGGGTGGTAGGGCAATGCTAAAATTAACATTTCAACTACTTATACAGAGGTTTTTACCAACAGACAAAAGACTCATTAAAAGATTCTCCAGCACTATTTCCCACTCAACACAAGCAGAGACAGAGCAGTTGGGACAAGGCCAGGTAGGAAGAAAAACACCCCTCTTCTGATCTACATGTTGCTACTTTTAGAAAGCTGAGGAGGAATTAGATCTAATTATAAAACATCCCCAGTGAGAAAAATACTTCAATCTTCTTTGCACAAGGAAGGAGGAAGGCAACACATCTCTCTGAGGCGGGAAAGGTATACTTTGAAAGCTGAGCAAGGCTTAACTTCATCTGTAAAGTTCTAATCCAGATGTGAAATTTCAAAAAAGGAAAGAAAAACCAACAAACAAAACCAACCAAGATACCTGCAAACCTCTCTACAGAACTGAATTAAAACAAAAAAGGAGCAGAAGAACAATCCCCAAAAGCAAGTCACCTCCCCCAAACCACCCAAATTCCCAGAGCTTATCCTCTGCTGAAAATGCCATCACAAGTCATCCCAATTAACAGATTTCTTTCCTTATTAGCATCTGGACACTTACTCCTCTAAGAATATCAATGCCACAGATACTCAGAGCCAGTGGTCCTGTAACGTGGCATTAGTGCCCCCCATAGTACTCCTTCTATCTTTCCTTATTGCATAGCAGCAGAAAAAGCAGGTGGAGAGTTTCCTTCTGAACATCACATGGCCAAGACAACACAAACCCTCAGCATTTCTGTGCACTCACCTTTATAGCCTACTCTTATCCAAGCAAGCCTTTAGGAATACAGGCAGTTTCTGCTGTAACACCCCAACCATAAAAATGTGTATTTTTAACTTATTTAATATTTTGACTATAAAATAGGAGTTAAATAGCGGCTTAAAATGTTCTTTTTCATTTGCCTTAGAAACAACGGAATTCAGAGCACACGTAGCAATATTTACATTTGTAGACCTTATTTCCATCTGTAAACTGTCCTCAACACTAGTTACAGTATTACCCAAACTAGAAAATCCTAATTTTTAATCTTTAACCTCACAAGATGCCTTTATCTTTTCACAATGAGTAACATTTTTATGTAAGTACTCCAAGCCAATGGAACAGCTGAAAAACAAAGGCAATGACTGAACAATAAGCTATACAGGCAAATGGAGCCACATCTATTGAACTTACAAAACCTAGGAACTTCAATATCACAGATACATGCATGCAACAATATTAAGATTTCTACTTACTTCCTCATTAAATAATTTGCTAGTTTCTTTTTTAATAGGGTCTATAAGTTGGACCTGGCCTGCAGAGAAGCCCACTAGAAGAGACACACTTTCTGCTGTGGCTGTTAAGTGATTGAAGTCGTGGCATGTAGGCTGTGTTCCTTTGTATATCCTTTTGTCTATTGGTTTGCTCAAGTCCGCAGCCTGCAAAGAGAGCAAACAGAATTCAGACAGTTTATCACAATATGTGCACACAACCACATCTGTTTGAAAACAATGTTCATACCACACAACAATTTATGCAGTCACAAAACTCTACTTTAAAAAGCAGCTCTGCATTTATGAGACATCCAAGATCTTATCAAAATGTTTCTCTCTTTAGATTAAGCAAGTGTGCAAACTACACCTGCCCTTGTCTTTGCACCTACAGCACGTGACACACCTGTGACAGCCACACACAAAGGCTCCTGTGAGTCCTCAAGATACCAGAAGGCTTCTCCTGCCACAAGAGCCATCACAGAGACAAGGAATCTTCTACTTTACTAGTAGCACTTCCCCAGTATTCAGTACAACCAATTTTGCATTAAAAATACCATATTCTCAATCACACAATTCTTGAACTTTTAAGTCCATCCTTTAACAACAGGCAAACAAATGATATTGTTCTCCATAATCACAAAAAATTATCAACCAGCTCCAAAGAGAGCATTTTCTAGGAACAGTGATTCAAGATACTGATACTGCGATTATAAAACACATTTTACACCACTGAGCTACAAAGTAATTTGCTTCTGAAAACAAAACTCAAATATAGCTCAGACAAAATAAGTGCTAACAAAACTGAGGCATTTCAATATAAACAAATTAAGATCTAGCACTAAGTGTCAGAAGAATCAAAAGGAACAGAAAAGCAATTTAAAATGCTCCCTCACTTGTGCCACCCATGTTCATCCCCATATCACTTCTGTACAGACAACTAAATCTTTCATCATCCAGAGATTAAACCCCACACTTTAATATGCAAGATCATCCATCAGGTTCAACCTTGTTTTTTAACCTCCCTATTTACTAGGTGCAGAGTCTGTAATTAGAAAGCTGCAGATACTCAAACAATATTACAGGCCTCAGATGTAGCTGTGATTTGGGCTCAGATTCTAATTCTGATATATACTTTTTCAGTATATCTACTCAGAGGAAATCAGGCCAGCAATAAAAGAGAAAGTAAACAAGCTTCACATAAAACAGAATTGCTCCAAAGCATTAAACCTTGGAGGACAAGGACTGAAGAGTAGAAGATCTTTGGTATTCACAGAGCTACACAGAGAGAAACTAGACCTGTCAGTAGGGAAAAATCCTAACCAGCTACACAGGTGAGCCATTTCCAAGGCAAATTTAACTACAAGATATGCATGACAAACATTTATACACAATATTAAAGCTGCACTTATGTTTTGCAGCACATATTATAAACCAGTTTAATCAGGTGTACAGTCTCCTAGTTAAAAACTCCAAAATGAGATGATGTATTACAATTTCTAAAGTCAGCAGACTAAAAAGTTATTCCCCAGAGTCCAGAGATCCATTTTAAGCTAAAAGAGAATATTACCAATACCCCTTCAAGGAGAAATTAAATAGAATACTAGTTCAACTGGGAGGTGGAAGGATAATGTGCATGCCTGCCACAGAGCATTCACCAGCTCACAGGCTGATGTAAATCTGTGATTTGAAGTTGAAAGATCAAATCCTAAAGGCCTTGCAATTAGATTGTGTAACATTCCCTTGTCCTGTATCACTATAAACAAGTGATGGCAAGAGAGAACTCTCAGAACTGGGGTAGCATTTCTATCTGGAAGAGCAAACTACACAACCACATAGCCATACCTCAAATAAAGCAGAATTAAAGCAAACCTATGAGACTCCAAGTTCTCTCCTCTGGACAGAAGTTGCAGCAGGACTCAATGCCTAAGAACAAAGATCCATTCTAAAGTAAACACGACTTGGTCTGAATCATACTGAATGACCATAGCACCACAGAGTGTCCCAGCCAGCAGAGGATACAGGCATTACCACCTTCTTCTGAATCCTCATTGGCCCTTTAAGCAGCAAAGAATCAATAAATAGGTGGCTATGTTCAAACTATACCTTGCTCCTTTGTCTGGCTGAGGTTTTACATCACTAGCTTTTGTTTTTCTTGTCCAACAACTTTGGCGTGACAAGTTCCCTATCTCATGAAATTCTGTGGTAACAGACCTAGCAACACATGAAATTCTGATAAACTGAATCTAAGCACAGACTTCACTGTGCTTATTCTAGCTGTTCTCTGGGAACCAGATGGCAGTGAGAATCTGTCTGAACTTAAATGAAGTATAAATAAACTAAATCAACCCAGAATTAACCAGGCTCCTACTGACAGGGATGCCCCGCCTTTTATTTACATGCAGCTACTGCTTTCAGTTACAGCACAGTTGTCTCAGGGAGAGAAGTCAAATCTACAAGCACTAAAGTTCTGCTTTGGTCTAGATCTCTCTTAACTGAAAGAGAGAAGAACCAACGGGCACAGCAGCTAGGAGACATTTTCTTTATTTCTGCATGAAGGCTGCTATTGGATTTTGCTAAGAACAAGAAAAATGCTTACTCAAAATCAAGCATGGGACTCAGTGTTTCATCAGCTCACCACTAAACCCATTTGCTATTTTGTGAAAGATGTGATTCTCAGAGAAAAGCTTTTACATGAGATCTTGTCCATAAAAAACTGTCAAATCCTAAGACCTGACATATCACCTTGCTCTTTACTGAACACGGTGATATGAATTTCCCTCTGCTTAGAAGTGGTGATGGACTTTGAAAAAACCCCAAAAAAATCTTGGGATTAAGTGTTGCTGGGCATGGAGATTAAAAGTACAGGAGCAGACACCCTCACCACAGCACCTGGCAGAAAGTTATTTGCACACTTCCTGTCCCAATGCTTTTAAAATTTTCTTCTGAAAAACACTCAGCACTATTCCAGCCTGCCCACTCTGAGAAACTTCCTCAACTGTGGATGATTCATGATGAGAGCAACACTTTCAGTAATCACAACTGAAAGCAGAATGGGGCAGCTGATGCAAGGCAAGGAACATCAAGAGCATCCTTACCTGTGCAAGCCTTGAAGCACATCTCAGCTAATGAAGGCTCTGGGACTGGCACTTGGCCAACTGATCCCTGTGCTAAAAGTCTGCTCCTTCCAACATACAGAGGTACTGTACCCCCTGGGCAAAGAGACAAGGAATAACAGGCTTTGGGCACCAACAGGAACCTCACACACTGTCACAAAGCCAGTGACACAGCTGAACAAAACTGCTGTACCTTGGGCATCCACAGCTTCCAAGTCCTGTCTCCGAGGAGATTTGAACTCTCCCTTGAGAGAACCTCAAACTTGCTCACAGAAGAAAAATTGAGCTTAGGTTTGTGTGATGAATTATTACTCTAGAAACAAAACATGAGCCATGTAACTGTTTGAGGGACTTCCTATTCCTCACAGCACACTTTTAACAAAACTACTCCCACTCTGATGGGGAGGGAGGGAGGGAAAATCTAACAGTCTAACAGTAGCCCATTCACCCTGGACTTATGACTTCCAGTAGAAGGGCAGTCAAATGGAACATACTAAATCACAGCTTTAACTATATAAACACTAAGAAAAAAAAATGGCAGAAAAAGAACCACAACAAAAAACAGTTACCTTAGCCTGAAGCAAATTTTAAGTATTCATATTCTGATGTCTGAAATGTCTGATTAGGATGGGCATCAATAACCTTGGTTCTGTAGCTGTGTGTAATTCTAAGGTCAAAGCCAAAGATTAATATCTATCCAAGATTTATTTTATTGATCCAAGACTTAGAGCTTTCATAATAAAATTGCCTAAACAGTGAATCACATTACTTTAAGTCAGTGTTTAATCACACTCCTTGACAGATATTACTTCTTCCTGTATCTTTTCCTAACTTACATTTACAGCTTTCTACAAATTTTACTTGAATGAAATGTGTCACACATTACAATTCTTTCCAAGCTGCAAACATTGCCAAGATATTAAATTAATTACTTTATTAATTTATTCCAGGTAATTTCAATTGTATTCATGAAAAGGGTTCCATTAGATACTTAATAGCATTTAATATTACATTTGCCAGGACACTAGCTTTCAATGGGTCATAGCTGTAAGTGAGATTGAGACAAAATAGTGAAGCATTTAATAAAAATTTTACTGCCAAAAAATCCTCTTAAGAAAATCTCTCTTGTCCAGAGAATTACTGATCTTGAACAGCAGATTACAGATTGGCTATGTATGTACAGCTCTAGTGCACAGTAAAAGAGAACACACAAGAACCAAAACAATGTACTTTTGAAAACAATTGCCTCAGTATTTCTGGAGCTTGGAATTTGTAACTGACTACCTGGAACTTGCTATCTCTTCCACACCTTGCTCTCCAGGGATTTAATGGTCCTTGGTCTAGAAACAGAATTTGAGAAAGCTGTGCCTAATGTGCTTAATGATTATGTTATAATGCTGTACAGGTAACAGAAGAAGTCAACTCTTAGAATTATTACTAAGTGAGTTTCTTTGAACTTCACAGATGCTTCTGGCTGAAAAAAGAGGCAAGGCAACCCCTGCTGGAGCTCTCTGCTTTACACAATCTCCTGTGAATGGGACAGAACCCTCCCTGACTCGCTCACTGCGTTAGCAAGGATGGGGAAACTAAACTTGCTTATTCTTCCTCCATGTCTGTGCTGGTCTCCTTCTCCCTCCTGCAGACACGCCAAAAGGCAGGGACTGCTGAGGAACACAAGAAAGCAGAGCTACCCCAGGCACTTCTGCAGAATTTTCTGGCCAACTCCATTCCTTGTTTCTGTACAAGTTTCTGACAGAAATACCAGCATCAATACTTCACACTCTACTTTATTAACACAGGAGTGGACTTCCAGATTTTTTTGGTTTTATAGCCCAAATACAGATCACTTACTATTACCAACATAATAATTTTGTAGTTACATCACTGTTGTTTCAAGCTGATCTGATCTCACAGCTGACCCTGCTTGGGGCAGGTTAGACTGGGGACTCTCAGAGGTTCCTTCCCACCTGAATAGCCCTGGAATCCTAAGCTTAGGATCAACCAAAGCAGCAGCAACAGGGCCACTCCCACATTACTTAACAGGTCTGGTTT